TCACTGCCCTCCCCTCCCCTACACCCCACACACCCCTTTTGGTCCCTTTTTGCTGTGTGCCTACCACAGCTGACTTCCCTCCCCACATTTTGCCTCTGTTTTTGATCCTGGTGATCCTCTGACATTCTCGTGGGGGGGGGATACCTTGGATATGCCGCAGAGGGAGTTCTTTCTTCCTTCTCACCAACAGCTTCTCCTCTGGGAGGGCGGACCTCAGTGCCACCAGCCTGGTCAACAGCCATCCATCCTCCTCTGCCATCGTCAGTAAAGCTCAGCTTGCATCTAAGGTCACACCCTGGGCCTGGCCATCAAAGAGCTCCTCTGTGCCCATCCCACCTCCCATCCTGGTTGGCAGCCACTGACCCAGAGGGTGAACTCCAGGCACCCACTGGCCATACAAGTCCTGCTGCTGGGGGTGGACACCCAAGAGTTAGGGAGCAGTCTTCCCAACCCCTCCAGGCCCCGCCCTCAGACAGCCTGGGCTTCCAGATCAGCTCTTCCCCCACAGCATCGAGAATCTGTCGGGGATCCCCTTGTCCCAGAAAGGTGCGTGTGCCCCCGCCTGGTGTTGTCTAACCGCTCAGCTCACCCAGCCCAAAGCCCCACCCTCCCTTTTGCTCTGCTGAGTGTGTACTGCATCGCTTGCTGCCTATTCTGCAGCCACCAGTGCCCCTGGGGTGTTAGTTACCTGCTTAAGGACACAGAGCGGTGGGAGCAAAGTCAGAAAGTATGCTGGCAGCCGGGCATGGTGGCTCACGCCTGTAATCCCAGCACTTGGGAGGCTGAGGCAGGAGGATCGTTGTGAGTTCGACCAGCAAAGTGAGCTGAAGGCCAGCCTGAACTGCATAGTGAGACCCTGCCTCAAAAAGACAAAAAAAAAAAAGTATGCTGGGGACACCTGGTACCCAAGCTCACATCCTCTCCACTCAATAACTGTAATATCACCAACTGAATCCCTGTCCCCTGGATGAAATAGGCTAAGCCCATCGCCTTAGTAAACTAAGGGCTCAGTGTTGCCATCCTTGGTTTAAAATAAAGTTCAGTGTGTCCCAAGTTCCTTAAATAACAATTCAGGTGTCATGGGCAAGGGCACCCTGGCTCCTGCTCTTTTCTGCCCTTCTTGGCAGAGGGAGGCCGTTGGGAGGTGGCCTTGATCCTGTGCTGGGATATCTGTGTTCTCTGCAGCGGGAAAGGAGATCCTGACCGGTACCAAGTCCATTTCAGCAGAGGCTGCCAGGCGGCGCTCACGGGCTCTGGCCCTACAGGGGCGCCACCTGCTGGCAGCTGCTGCAGAGCGCAGCAGCCTGTCGCTGAACTCCCTGAGCGAGGCTGAGGATGCCAGGCCACCCAGCCCCACGCTGCAGCGTGCAGCCAGCGAGGACAACCTGTCCAGCAGCACGGGCCTACTCACGGGCCGCTCCCACCCCATGGTCAAGTGCCCACTAAAGATGGACCCTTCGGACATGATTTAGGAGCCCTACCTGGAACCAGCTATTCTGCCCTTGAGACTGAAGGGGGGGAAGTGGGAATGGGAAACAGAGGTAGGCAGATGGGAATCACGTGGGAACAGGAGCTCAGATGCTCAGGGCTCCTGAGACCCAGAAGCTGGGGCGGGGGTGCCAGACCCAGGCATGGTTTCATTGTCAGACGTGGGTAAGCCCGAGGCACAGCCTCCCACCCTGCACACAACACTATTGCCAAAAACCTGGCAGTGGGGTGTGGAGCCATAAGCAGAGCTCGCTCCTGGGCCACACCTGGGGCGAGGGTATGTTGGATCACTGGAGAGGGGCCAACGGGCCTTTACATCTGGGTTTGCCACTTTGCGATGGCTTTTCCCTCTTCTTTTTTAATAATAAAATCCCATTTGTGTTTCATGGTTGTGTTGGAAACTAGGCCTCATCTAAATGTGGGACAACAGCTGTGACTAATTCGGCCGGCTCCCTTCCGCCTCCCTGAGGTGCTCTGCTCTCCCCAGGCTGGGGACAGGGGTTCTGGCCAGATCCAAGGCCCCTCCCCAGGAAACGCAGGGCTAGAGCAAGGTTCAGTTTATGCCCCATCCCAGCCACCTTCACATTCGCCAAAGACCCCTTCCAGGGGAGAGGCCCCAGCCTGGGGGTGACACCCTCAGAAAACCTGCAGCACAGAGGAGGTAGCCAGACCCTGGAGATCAGGGCTCAGAAATGACCAGCTAAATCCCTCAGCTGCAAGCTGAGCAAACTCCTGCCAGAGGCAGGTACCCTGGTGCCCCAGTTAGTAGCCCACAGACCATTTGCTTTTACCTGTCCTGCTCCAAGTGGGGTGGGGGCTCTCAGGGAAAAACTCAGTGAAGGCCAGGGAACCCCCAAACTTGTGGGATGTCCTGGAGTCCTCTTCCGTGGAGGCTGGTTGGTTCATGCAACCGTTCACCTCTCTGAGCTTCTGCCAACAATGATGGTGCATGCTTGTGCATCCCAGTACTCTGGAAGGCTGAAGCAGGATGGGCACAAATTCATGATTAGCCTGGAAAAGTCAGCAATTTGGCAAGTTTTCATCTCAAAATAAAAATGGGATAGGGTGGGATTTAGCTTAGTGAGAGGGCTTTGAGCTCAACTCTGAGTATTGCAGAGTTTCTGTGTCTCCCTTTAAAAACTTTTTCCCATTGATTTAATTAGGGTGTGAATTTAGGTGCATGTGGTCTATAAATTCACTAATCTCTTTTAATACATAGAGGATATGCTTGGAGCTATATAAACTGTCTTCAAGCAGTAGTAGTTTCTACAGCTAGAGAGAAGAGCTCTGCTCAAACAATGATTATTCTGACATTGTTTTTGTTCTTTTTTGTGTGTGTGTACTAGGGATCAAACTCATGAACTCACACTTGTCAGGCAGGTGCTGTGCCACTGAGCTAAATCCCCAGCCCAAGACTTGAATATTCTTTTTTTGTCTTTTTCATTTTTATTGGTACTGGGGATCGAACTCATGACCGCCTGCTTGCAAGGCAGGTGCTTATGCCGCTGAGCTAAATCCCCAGCCCCAGATTTGAATATTCTTAAAGGATTTCACTACTCAGGAAATTAATGCAAGGAAGTCTCAGCTGATTGCTTACTATTGCATTCTTGTAGGATTAGAACAAGTCATACTGACAAAAATGACTTTTTATTTAAAAATATTGACAGTGGGGTTTTGCTTTTAGCTGTCTATACTTCAGTGGATTTTTCAGTACCTCTTCCTGTGATGGTATACATAGAAATATATAAGGAACCTTGTTTTCAGAGTTAAAAGCCATTTGTTCATGGTTGAAAATTAGCAAATTTCCAGATTCTAGAGTGTTGTGGTTTGGTTTGGCCTTCAATATTAAGTGGGCCATCGTCAAGAAAATAAGGAAAACTGTGACTTGTTTTAAGACTCCCAAATCAAAATAGTTTTGCTATAATACTGTTGAATGTTTCATAGATTATTTTCAGGTTGTACATGTGATACTTCTAATTGGTATCTTCTAATTTAATTTCCAATTGCTATGGATTCTAAATAAGCAGTATTCTTTGGAGTAACTGCTTTGTAGCTAAGTCTGGCTTTTACCTGACAAGATCCATTCAGCATGTATTACCCAGCTCTGACTTGACTCTCCTGCGGCGATGGGAGTGGGAACAGGAGACAGCCAGGGCCAGAGAATGTGAATCACTGTTGGGTAAGAATGGCCTGCCACCAAAAGCCGGTAGTCTGAGGATCTACTTGGAGGATAACAATATGCAACTATGGAGGATTTTCTTTTTGTCTTGTTTTTTTTTTAAAGAGTAGAATATATTTATTGAGAGAAAGAAAGCTTCTGTCTGAGAGAGATGGAAGGAGTCCCAAGTGGGTTGCCCTCTTCTGTCTTGTTTCTGAAATCCAATATTGTTCTCATTGTTTTGTTTTGCTCATTCCATTGTTTTGTTTTTATTCCACGTTCTGTTTTAATTCGTTTTATTTGGTTCTGTTTTGTTAAATTTTATGATGTCTGATGGTATGGGCAGCAATTTTGATTTCTACTGTGGTACTTTGGTAGCAGTTGTTGATATCCCATTATTCTGTTTTGAAGTACTGTATTACTTTCACTGTTTTGTTGGATTGGCTTTATTCTGTTTTATTTTGTTTGGTTTTATTCTCTTTATTTTTAAATTTTATTTATTTATTTTTGAGACAGGGTCTTGCTATGCAGTTCAGGCTGACCTTCACTTCACTTTGTAGCCCAGGCTGGTCTCAAATTTGCATTGATCCTCCTGCCCAGTGCAGCGATTACAAGCATGCGCCAGCACACCTGGGTTTATTCTGGAAAGGAGAGGAAAGGAAAGGAAAGGAAAGGAAAGGAAAGGAAAGGAAAGGAAGAAAGAAAGAAAAGAAAAGAAAAAGAAAGAAAGAAAGAAAGAAGGAAGGGAAGGAAGGAAGGAAGGAAGGAAGGAAGGCAGGCAGGCAGGCAGGCAGGCAGGCAGGCAGGCCTGCCTGCCAGCACTGTTTGGCCTAAGGCCAAGCCAAACCATTAACCCTATTTCCCTTTGTGAAATTGAGTATCTTTAATAAACTAATAAGCACACACACACACAAAAGCTGAGATGTTGTGGGGTGATGGTTGGCCGTCATTTCAGCTGGACACTGAAACAAGACCACTGAACAAGAAAGTTGCAGTCACTTTCCCCAAGCTTTGGGTATGGGATACGCAATAATTATGAATTCCCTACAACCTTCCAATATTAACAAATCTTTCAAGTCCCCGACCACGCCACGAATTGCCTTGAAGAGCCTAAGAGGAACTCTACGTCCCTACCCCATTCTCAGCAAGCCCAGTTACCCTGAGAGACGCTCAGGTAGCTCCAGGCAACGCGCCAGATGAGCGGGTGTCGCCGAGCTCGCCGGGAAGTGTGGCTTTTCCACCGACTCCCCAGAGTCTCTGACGGAGGGTGAGCGCGCCACGGACTACAGCTCCCAGAATACATCGCGCCACCTTCTCGAGAGGCCGCGACTACGAAGTGGGCGGTGGGGTCGACTACGAAGTGGGCGGTGGGGTCGGAGGAGTAGGATCTGCGGAGGAACGCAGAGAAACTCTTCGGCTTTGGGTGGTTGGTACCGATCTTGGCCACCAAGCCTCCCAGGGGACGGCGCATAATGGGAATTGGAAGAGCTGTAAGGACCACAGCCTGTGCTGCGGGCCAGATCGCTTAACGCGCGAGGTGCGATACACAGAGGGGCACAGTCTCGGAAAGACTGGGAATTCTGGGAAGGACGGTGGCCTAGGGCTGGGCTCGCGATTTTAAAAAACGACCGCCTGTAGTTGGGTGAGTAGATGGGGAGACTGAGGCGTCATTATCCTGGGGCCCCATGAGCTTTACTAACCGCTGCTAGAAAATGCCCATCGTATGGAAAGCCGAGACATGGTGGGAAGGAGATGGAGAAGTTCCTCGATGTACCTTAAGCCAGAACCCGTTTGCACTTGCGGGTCGCCGAAGTTGCCATTGCAGAGAAAGAGAAGCAAACATTTTGAGAGGCCTCTGTCTGTAACCCCCAGATAAACGTTGCATTCTAATAACAGGATAGGCCAAACCTTCGAGATAGAGATGACTGCATCTGGCTCCTTTCTTCCAAGGCTGGCAGAAGGTGGGTTTTGGTGTAAAGAGGAGAGAGCTAGTTTTGAGGAGTACTGTTCCAAGTGGAGGAAGCCCTGTTTATGGGCTACTGTGAAGGGAACGGTTTCCACCAGGGAAAGTTGTGTCAAGGAGTAACCAGAGGTCACACCCACTCCCGTAGGCTGAAACCTGTCCGAAAGTAGTCTTGAGTGCTGCCTGGGAAGGGTTTTGGCCACAGTGCCAGGTACCCAGCGTCTTTCTGAAAGGCCCGAAAGGAAATGCCCACCACTGCATTTGAATTACTGGAGAAGCTAGAGAAAGTCCATTAAATTATCCAGAGCTTTGACTTCTCATCAGAATCTCTCCCCTCTATGGAATTTTTAATTTATGGAAATAGATTTTGACTTCTTCAAACAGGTGAAGTGAGCGAAGGTTTGATAACCCTGGGAGCCAAGCATTGTTAAGATGCACCTTTGCCTTCTCCCTTCCCATCTCCCCATCTCTTAGTCTTTCTCTTCTCTTCGTTAGGGAAGATGAGCCTGCTGTGGTCAAAATTCGTATGATCCGGACAGTGCCGTGAAGGAAATGCGTGCAGCCCCAGCACTTTGAGATGGTAGGCAGAATAGGGAGTGATACGTGTGGAAATGTAAACACCGCCCTTCACCCTACTCCTGGTCCCCAGAGGTCTTGATTGCATGGAATACTTTGGGGACTTGGTGACAAGGACCAAGATGTGGTTCCCAGAGAAGACTGCATGGAAAGTAGCAGGGCTTTTTCTCAGCCTCCTAATGTACTGCTGGGAGTACATAAAGGACCTCGGTCTCTAAGTGCTATTGGTGCGCTATCTTGTGGTGACCTGGCAAGAGACAGTACAATTCATTCTGCATTTCCCATTTCAACACATGATCACCATTTGATTTTGTTAATGTGATTTATTTTTCCTATTTTAGGCATTAAAAACCAAGAAGAGCTTGAAAGGTGAGTGGAAGGATGAAACATTACCCTTAAGCCAAATATATATCTTTTTCTTCTTTGGTTCCAAAATAATTTAGACTTATCTTAAGTGTTTCTGTTGAGGAGCTGGTGTAGCCTCATGGGAGAGCACTTGGCTTTGAGAACTGGATTCCATTCCCAAAAAAAAAAAAAAATTCTTGTTGAGAGTCTTGCTGTTTCTCATAAATCTATGGGGAGCCTTCTCTCATAAATCTGAGGGACCTTGGTATGAGCTACCTTTTGATCTTCAGAAAAATTCAAAAATAAGTTAAAATGGAGTTTTAGAAAAACCTTTCTCTCTGGGTGTGGTGGCACATGGAGCTCCAGCACTTAGGAGGCTGAGGCAGGAGGATCATTGCAAGTTTGAGACCAGTCTGGGCTACAGAGTGAGCTCAAGGCCAGCCGGAACTACATAGCAAGACCTGTCTCAGAAAAAGACAAAAAAAAAAAGGGAAGGCCTTCTCATTGGATTCTGTATTATTTGGGGGGGGGTGTTTCTATATCTTGAAGTATATGATTGTGATTAATTAGCTTGGTAAAGACAGAAATGAGAGAACCATCTGTATCTATATTTAGGTTCCCCCAATGTGGCCAGTGAGGAGTCCATTCAGTGCAATGGTTTGGATTTCAGATGAATACAAAAAGGCTTCAGTATGGAAGCCTAGAAATCTTGGTCACTTTGTTGTTGTTGTTGTTCTGAGACAGGGTCTCACTGTGTAGTTCAGGCTGGCCTTGAACTCACTGTATCCGCTAAATGCTTTTGGTGCTCCATTTTATGATGACCTGGGAAGAGACAATACAATTCACTCTGCATTTTCCATTTCAATGCATGTTCACCATTTGATTTTGTTAATGTGATTTATTTTTCCTATTTTAGGCATTAAAAGCCTAAGGCATTTTAGGCATTAAAAACCCTAAGTAAGCACTGTATCCCCAGTCTGGCTTCTGACTCACAGCAGTCCTCCTGCCTCAGCCTCCCAAGTGCTGGACTTACAAGCATGTACCACTACACCCTGCGTGCATAGTTTTTTAAAGAACTACACTAGGCTCTTTCAGAGTCTGGAAAACTGGTTACTGGCTAGTGTGTTGTGGGGAAGGCAGGAAGAAAGGAGATTCCACTGAAACTTTGCTGTCATGTTGGGAGCATTGTTTTACATTTCTATCTTAGGTGGTTCATTTTTGTTTTTTTGTTTTACCTTAGATATTTCAACAGGGCTCATTGCCAGAGAGTTAGAAAACATCTCCTGGTCAATGAAGGCGTAGCTGAGCCTAAGGCTTAACATCTTTGAACTCTGAAGCCCTTAGGGTGTGTCAAGATTTGAGCTGTATAAGCGCTGTTTTCCTCCTGAGATTATGACAGCCCTTTCTGTTCCAGGCTCCATTGATAACGTCCTTGGTGACCTCCTAGGTGAAGACAGTAAGTGCTTCTTCTCCCATATCCCCTGATCTAGTCCTGTTCTTTAACAATTAATTAATTAATTAATTAAAGGCATGGTGGTGGACATTTGTAATCCCAGCACTCCGGCAGGAAGATCACAAATTCTAGCCCAATCTGGACAGTTTAGTGAGACCTTGTTTCAAAAAATTTTTAAAAAAGCTTGAGGATGTATCTCAGAGTAAAGGCCCTGAGTTCAATCCCCAATCCCACCACCACCAGGAAATTGAGGTATAATTCACATGTCAGTTGGTGGGCGTTGTCATGTGGTGGACATTGTCCAAAATCCTAGCACTCTTGAAGCTGACGTAGTGGGGATCACAAGTAGGATGCCAGCCAGGGCTGTGTGGTGAGTTCAAGCCTGAGCTCTACAGGAGGCTCCTTCTCAAAAACAAAAGGAAACAAAAAATTGTTTAAATTAGACCAGGTAAAGAATGGCTGTTATCAAGAAATCAACTAATAACAAATGCTGGAGGGGCTGTGGGGAAAAAGGAACCCTTCTCCACTGTTGGTGGGAGTGCACACTGGTACAACGATTGTGGAAATTCCTCAATAAACTAGGACTAGAGGTCCCATTTACCCCAGCTATTTCCCTTTTGGTTATCTTCCCAAAAGAATTAAAAATATCATACCACAGCGATATGTATGCACCCATGTTTATAGTAGAACAATTTGTAATAACTGGATCTTGGAAACAACCTCAATACCCATAGACTGAGGGATGGATCACATAAGGACAAACTGGAGACATAGGTAAATGGATACAACTTGAGACCATACTCATAAGTGAAATAAATTTGAAATGTATGGACATCATGTTGCTTTCCTAGTGGGAGAAGCTGAAAGAAACAACATATGTGTGTATGTATGTATATAAAAAATAGTTGAGATAGTTACGTTGCTGATTTTCTGAGTTCCCTGAAGAGAAAGATTTGTACTGGTACTCTGACAATCAAATGCAAATGTCTTGTGCTCTGGGTGAATGCTTTAGGGATGATAATCTGCAATGTGTGTACTGTTGTTGCCCCCTGATTATGTGTTTTGAAATTTTGTTTCAGTTTTTTTCTTCTCTTTGAAATAAAATGGATGGGGTTGGGGATTTAGCTCAGCGGCATAAGCACCTGCCTTGCAAGCAGGCGGTTGTGAGTTCGATCCCCGGTACCGATAAAAATGAAAAAGACAAAAAAAAAAAAAAAAAAAGAAAGAAAGAAATAAAATGGATTTGGAAAAAAAAAAACAAAAAAAAGCTGGGTGTGGCATCCCATGGCTATAATCTTAGCACTTGGGAGGCCAAGGCTGGTGGATTGCTGTATGTTTGAAGCCAACCTGGACTACAAAGTCAAGGCCGTTCTGAACTACATAGTGAAACTGCCTCAAAAAGACAGAAGAAAGAAAGGAAAAATAAAATTCACATATCTTAACATTTGCTCTTTTAAAGTGGTGTGCATTTCTTTTGGGAGTCTGAGGCAGGATTGTTGTGAACTTTAGGCAAGCCTGGATTCCATAATGAGTTCAAGGCCAGCCTGAACTACATTCAAGGCCTGTCTCAAAAGAACAAAATAAAGTGTGCAATCCAGTGAAATTTAGAATAAACACTATTCTCTGCATCTTTCCCCTAACCTCTAATCTCAAGCAACCATTTGTTTCCCGTCTGTTGTGGAATGGCCTATTATGAGCTTTTTTTGTCTTTTTGAGACAGGGTCTTGCTACACAGTTCAGGCTGGCCTTCAGCTCACTCTGTAGCCTAGGCTTGTCTCAAACTTGCAGCAGTCCTCCTGCCTCAGCCTCTCCAGTGCTGGAATTAGAGGCATACGGCACCATACCTGGCTCTAGGGCATTTTATTTTTTATTTTATTTTATTTTTTTATTTTTTGGTACTGGGGATCAGATCACAACCACATGCTTGTAAGGCAGACAGGTGTTTATGCCGCTGAGCTAAATCCCCGGTCCTAGGGCATTTTATATAACATGGAATCATACAGTATCTGATGTTTATATCTAGCTTCTTTCATGGAGCACAGTGTCACCAAAATTCATCGATACTCTAGCGTGAATCAGTGTCTCATTCTTTTTTGTGGCTAGGTAATATCCTGTTGTGTGGCTGTATCGTATTTTAACTTGTTCATTAAGTGATGGACATTTGAAGTACTTTTGGATTTTGGCTGTTATTAGTAATACTCTCAGGAAATTTTTTTTTTTTTTTTTGTCTTTTTCATTTTTATCGGTACCAGGGATCGAACTCACGACTGCCTGCTTGCAAGGCAGGCACTTATGCTGCTGAACTAAATCCCCAGCCCCTACTCTCAGGAAAATTTGTGTGGACATCTTTTCAGGTCTTTTGGATATGAGCTAGATGTAGAATATCTGGACCATACAGTTACTCTGTTTAACTTTTTTGAGAAACCTCCAAATTGTTCCTCACAGCAGCAATATCTTTAATGTCCCCACCAGTAATGCAAAATGTGTTGATTTCTCCACATTCTTGCTAATACTTCTCCATCTTTTTTTGGTACCAGGAATTGAACTCCGGACTTTGCCAGGCAGGCACCCTGCCACTGAGCTATATCCCTGCTCCACCCCCTTCTTTGCCCTGTCCATCTTTTTGGTTATGGCTGTCCGTATGAATGTGTCTCACTTGTTGTGCATTTGTCACAGTGACTGGATCCTTTTTTTTGGTTGTTGGGGATCAAGCTCACAATCTTACACTCGCCATTCGAACACTTAGGTAAATCCCCGACTTATTGGGCATTTCTTTAATGACTGACGGGATTGAGCATCTTTTCACATATTGATTTTGCATATATATAATACAAATGCTCTTTGGTTCTGAGACAGGGTCTTGCTCAGTTGCCCAGGCTGGACTCAGACTTGTAACTTTATTTTGTGGTACCAGGAATCAAAGTCAGGACCTTGGACTTGCAGGCAGACGCTCATGCCACTGAGCTACATCCCTGTCTCAAACTTGCAACTTTTACGGGTAGCTGAGTTAGATAGAATTAATATACAGTCAGAGAGAGATCAGGTCCTTGAGGAAGTCAGCACAGAAAAATAAAAACCTGAAAATTGTAGCAAGAGACAAATCAGAAGAGCGCCAGGCCTTAGAATGAAAAAGCAGCCATCAGGCAGGCAGGCAGGCAGGCAGGCAGGCAGTTGTGTGCCTGGAGATAAGCAGCAACTTGGGATTATACTGTAATTACCACCATCTGGCCCAGTAAGTCCAGATAGGTATCAGATGCCAGGCCGGTGACCAGGACACCTGGCTCCCTCCCTTGGTAGAAATGCTTTGTTCTCTCTGCGTAACTCACTGCCCTGTTGGATCGGTATTCGCTAAGTGGCTGTGTGTGTAACCCTGTAGGTAGGCTGTAGTTTGACCCCATTGTGCCTGCATTGTGACCCCTGACAAAGGGTCTCAGTGGCCACTCCTTTGAGGACCTCTCCTGGAAATCCGAAGCTATTCTCTCCTTTTTTCCAATAAAACCATCCTAACTTCTCCCTTGGTTTGCAACTTCATTCCTGGATGTTGTGGGACCACAAACTCGGCACATTTGACATCTAACCGGTCAGGAGTGCTATTTTTCCTGGGTAGTATCTTCAGGAATGCCTCAGATTCCCAGAATATTAAGATTACAGGCATGCGCTACCACACCCAGCTCTATTTGTATAGCTTTGGAGGAATATTTATTCAGACCCCTTGCCCGTCTTAACTGGGCTATTTGGCATTTTCTCATTGAATATTGTGGCTACTGCCCCTTGTCCTGCGTCCATGTTGCTGTACTGAGGAGCATGGCTCCAGGGTCAGGCCAAGCTCTCCAGGGACAGCCAGGCTTAGGTTTCTTCCTTATGCCAGTGAGAACCCACAAAGCATAGGCTCATAGATTCTACCCCACCTTCTTCATTTGGCATTCGTTGGCACCTGGGCTGACTTCCTGGCAATGCTCCAACTCCATCTTCATTCAGGCTTCTCAGGGGCTAATGTTGGAAACTCCTGGTGTCCCTAGAAGGTGAGGGGGACTGCTAGGTGGGGGACTCCATATCCCTTGCATCTCTACTGTGGTTGTCTGGAGTTAAGTGACACCTTTGGGCGGGGCATGGTGGTCATGCCTGTAATGCCAGCACTTAGGAGGCTGAGGCAGGAGGGTCATTGCAAGTTGCAGACCAGGCTGGGCTACAAAGTGAGCTCAAGGCCAGCCTGAACTGAATAGTGAAACCTCATCTCAAAAAGACAAAAAAAAAGTGACATCCTTGATTTTCTTTTTTCCAGCAGTACTCCCTGAGAAGCCTGTTGAACCAGTTCCTTACAATAGAGATGCCCCAGGTGTGCCTCAGAAGCTTGCTTCTTCAAAGCCTAGAGGAAGGTAAACATTGGTTGCCCTGAAGACCCAGGGCCATTTCAGTGCAATGTTCTGCCCCTCCCACTTGGTAGTGCCCACTAGCAATGTCAGGAATTTCCACACCTTCCCTCCATTTCCAGTTACTGAAGGGGTCCAGGAAAATGGAAGGAGATCCGACTTGGAGGTCAGAAGACTCTAGTCCTACATCTGTGACTTGGGCGATTACGTTCCTTTAACTTTAAGATAAGGAAGTCAAGTGGGACATGTCTGTGATCCTGGCACTCAGGAGACAGGAGGATAGCTGTGGGTTCAAGGCTAGCCTGGGCCCCATAGAGAGTTTGAGGTTAGCCTACACTGTGTAGCGAGAGACTGTCTCAGACCACATCTACACACACACACACACACACACACACACACACACACACACACACACACACACACACCAGTAAGGGAACCGGTCCAGATCTGGTAATTTTCAAATTATGTTTGTTCTCCCTATAGAAGATGATAAAGGAGGAGCTTTGTGATGTTTAGAGCAATTACTTGTCTTCTTATCTTTTAACAGTGATTGATTTTGTTTATTTGTTTTGAGACAGGGTCTTGCTATGTAATGCAGACTGGCCTTGAACTCACTGATGTGGCCCAGGCTGGCCTCAAACTCACAGCGATCCTTCTGCCTCAGCCTCCTGAGTGCTGGGATTACAGGCTTGCTCCCCCATGCCTAGCTTGCTAGGTTGATGTTTTGAGACAGGGCCTTGTTATGTCATCCAGGCTGACCTCAAATTTGAAATCCTCCTGGCTTAGTCTGCAAAGTCTGTTTTAGAGCAAAGCAGTACTCATTGGATGCCTTGCGGACTCAAAGCTAAGAACACTGGCCACTGTACTTGCTAAAATTTATCTATTTTAGATAATAGACTGGGGTTAACCCAGGATCTTCACGATAAACTACCTATGTTAACTATCGATCTACTTTGAGATACCTCACTAAATTACCTAGGTGGAACTCAAACTTGTGATCCTCCCACATTACTAGGATAGGCATGTGTCGCTGCTCCCAAATACCAGTGTATTTTTAGGCAGCCTGGGAAATTCTTTTTAGCATATCTGTCTTCCTGAAGAAGTACCTCTAGGGCTGGGGATTTAGCTCAGTAGCACAGGTGCCTGCCTGGCAAGTGCGAGGTCATGAGTTCAATCCCCAGTACCAAAAAAAAAAGTACCTCCAAGTTCCTTTCAACCCTTTAAGCCACTGTTTTTTAACAGTGGTGGTGCTGAAATGGAACACAGGACCTCGCACATGCTAAATATGTGCTCTGTTTCTGAGCTACACCCCTAGCCCCTTAGGTTTCATTTTCTAGGGTCATCCGGTACTCTCAGCATGAGGACTGGTCTCTGTTCTAATCCTTTACAGGTCCTTCCAGGAAGATGAAGACGTCAACACTCTGGGAGGCGTGGCAGGAGGTGACGCTGAGGTGAGTCCAACCCATTTCCCGATTCTCAGCTTTTGGACTTAACCTCAGGAAAATCAAGATTGGTGTGGTGGCCAATAGGCTGCTCACAGAAGTGTTTAGAAGCCTGCAAAGTCCTTTTATTCTTGAAGCAAAGCAGTGCTAAGGGATGCCACATAGACACAAGGCAGTATCTGCCTCCTTTTCCCAGAATGATGAGCTAGACAGTAGAATATTGTCCCTTCCCATGAGAAATTCCACACCATCTGCTCCTGTGATTGGAAAATAGCCTAACATGGGTTCTGTGGTGAACGTCATCTCTCCATTTGGGAGGGATGGGTCTCCATAACTGGGTGGATGTGACTTTGTACCACAGCTCCTGGGTAGAGATGGGGAGAGGTCCTGTTATGGCCATTGGCTGAGCTCTGCCTCTCTGGCCACATGCTCTTACAGAAGCAAGGTGATGGGGCTGGAGTGGTGAGCAATACTGGGCCTGACTACTGTGCCTCTTATCTCTCGCCTCTGTGTCCAACCGCCTGTGGACTTAGGTTTCCGACATCTCAGATCCAGACCCACAGGACTTGCTACAGGCCATAAAGGTAGGGAGAGAGCTTTGTAATTCTCAGGACTAGGGCTGGATGAACCTTTGATATTTTTATTAAGACTTCATCTTCCTGTAAATCTTCCTTTTCATCTTGGGTTTCTGAGGTCTTCCTATAATGAGCACAGAGCTCACCCTGAGCTGTTTCCCTTCTACCCACTCTAGGTATAAATCTTTTTTCCTGCTACCTGGAGACAGAAAGTCTTGCTATAGTCCTCTGGTGAAATGGGACCAGTCCCCTCCTAGGGAATTACCTAGTTGGTCCCCGCTACCCCTGCACCATCTAAAGGGACAGAATGAGATGCCTTCCCTTCTTAGCTCCAGCTTCAGGCTCTTTAACCTCAGTCTGAAATCTTTCTCCCGCAGGCCACCCAGCCATGACCCAAGGCACGCATGACCCACACAATTGCTTTGACACAATTTTGGAAGCCAGTTTTGAGTCTCTCATTCTAGAATCATGAGCCAAGCCTGGACTGGCCTCAGACTCACAGTGACCCTCCTGCCTCTGCTTCCCGAGTGCTGGGGTTACTGGTGTGCACTCCTACATCTGACTCCCACCCCACTCTGGTTCCATTTTCATTCCCAAAGCACCATTTTTCTCAGTTTCCTTTGTTTCTCATCATTCTGCCCCTGGCTGTCTGCGCAGCTGGAGGTTCTCCTCCCTGCTGAAGAATCATCTTCACATTACTGCAGTGAAGGAGCCGACGTAACAAGAGAAAATGTTATATTATTCGAGCTCACAGGTTTTGTTTTGTTCTGTTTTGTTTTTTGGTACTGGGGATCTAACTCACAACCTTGCACTTGCCACACAGGCACTTAGGCCACTGAGCTAAGTCCCCGGCCCCATTTTTTTTTCTCTACGAGGAATTGAACTCAGGACCTTGCACTCATCAGGCAGGCCCTTGTGCCACTTGAGCTCTATCCCTGGCTCCAAGCTCACAGTTTCAGAGGTTCAAGGCCCAAGATGAGGTTGGGGTGGGGACTGCCTGATCTCTGGGAAGGTGGCAGATGGTGCCACAACCTGACCTGTTTTCCCTTGAGGAGGGTGACAGCTGGTGGCACATCATGGCAGAAGCATGTAGAGCAGCAGGTGGTTAGGTCCTGAACCACAGCAGAGAAAAGGAATGGGCGCAGTCACATAGCTCCCTTCCAGGGTAGGGCCTCCAGGGACGGAGACCCCACACATTCCACACAGCTGCTTCCAGCAGCACCCCAGGCCAAGCCTTTCCACATGGTCCGCGGGGTCCCTGGCTCCTTCCCAGGCGTCGCGCTCAGCCCTTCTTGCTGCTCTAGGATCTGGACGACATGGATGCTGATCTCTTTGGTTTGAAGAAATCTCCAGCCTCTGACAGAAGAGCAGCCAAGGGTTCTAGGAAGGAAGAGCTGCCCCACAATCCCAAACCTGCTGGCAAGTTAGCAGTCAGGGAGCAAGGTGAGTGGCAGAGAGTGCCTCAGGCCCCCGAGGGGCCTTGGGATCGCAGAAGCTGCTCAGAAAGAAAAGATGCTCACTGTGGATAGTTGCTGAAGGAGCTTTTTGAGTTAAAAGGGAAATTTGGGCTGGAGGGGTTGTAGTTCTGTGGTAGAGTACCCTTCTAGAGTACATGAAGGCCTGGAGCACAAAGACAACAATAATTTTTTTTTCTAAAATGAAAGTTTTTATTTAAAAAAAATCTGTGGGGGATGATACAAAGAAATAAAAATATAAAAGAAGGGAAATGTACAGTTTTGAAAATCAGAATGACATGTGTATATGTATTTCTAAAAGTACTAACATCAGGTATCAATTCATTAAGGTATTAAATTTCATTTTATGATGTAACAGTTCTTTTTTTTTTTTTTACTGGTACCGGGTATCGAACTCACAACTGCCTGCTCACAAGGCAGATGTTTATGCTGCTGAGCTAAATCCCCAGCCCCAACAGTTCTCTTCAAAAGGCTGATATTCTAGTACACAAATTAACAGCAATGATTTTTTTGCTTTAAATTTGTTTATTTCTTTGTTTGGTTTGGTACTGGGGATTGAACTCACAACTTCCTGCTTGCCAGGCAGGTGTTTATGCTGCTGAGCTAAATCCCTGGTATAACAATGATTTTTTTTACTTTTTTTTTTTTTTTTTTTTTGTCTTTTTCCTTTTTATTGGTACCGGGGATTGAACTCACGACTGCCTGCTTGCAAGGCAGGCACTTAATGCCGCTGAGCTAAATGCCCAACCCACAACAATGATTTTTAAAAAGGAAAATTTGATGGTAGCCTGTCCATCTCCCAAACCTGTGGTTGTTTGGAGCGATTCAGACAAAGGGGCGGGTGTGGCTCCCACCACGCTTGTCGGAAGTATGGGTGAGAACTGGTGGGTTGGGACCCTCCGTGGCTGTGCCCACATCCTTGAGCCTCAGCTTTCTAGGATGAAGTCCTCATCATCCAGGGCCCCCAGTCCAACGTGTAGAGAAGGAGCTTAGACCAGGAAAGACCAGGTCCGGGCTGCTTTCTCTGTTCTTCCTGCAAGGGACACCAGTCCCACCAGAAAGCTTTCTCACTCTCCCTGTAGTTTTGGGCATCAGCACAGGAGGTATTTTATTTTTTTATTTTTTTTATTTTTATCGGTACCAGGAATCGAACTCACAACCACCTGCTTGCAAGGCAGGTGCTTATGCCACTGAGCTAAATTCCCAGCCCCTGCACAGGAGGTGTTCTTTCGGAGGTACCAGAGATTGCCCGGTCCTGCCTCTGGGACACTCCATGTGTTTGTTTGTTTGCTAGCTTGTTTGTGGAACTATGGATTGAACCAAGGGGTTGTGCACTGAACTGCATCCCTGGCCTTTTTATTTTGAGACAGGTCTTGCTAAGACACAAAGTTACCCAGGCTGGGCTCAGATGGGGACACTATGATTTGACAGTCGTCTTCCCTGCCTGTCTGGGGACAAGTTATTGTGTGTATCAAAGGAGGAACAGAGAGCTTCTGCCTCAGTTGAGTTCCTCAGGAATTCTGCAGGAGTTCTAGTGATGTATTGAGGAGCCTAGAGCACAGAGAGCGACCCTTTCCCTTCACAACGTGTAAATGGTTTTCTCCTCCTCTGACGCCTCAGGGGTGTTCCAGGAGCACATGGGCCAACAGAGTCAGGAGGCCCTAGGGTTCTTCCAGCTCCCTCCTCGTGCCCAGCCTCAGCCCTGTCCCAGCATCCCCTGCCACAGCCCCACCCCACCCCATGTGTGCTGGGGGGCTCAGTTAAGCTCAGTGATATCGGCCACAGCGTTGGGCCTTGTTTCCTGAACAAAGTGCCACAGTCTGACTTCTGCTCTCCCCTCTGGTGGTGAGACCTGAAAGACCCATTAGCAAGACTTCTCTCTGATGATGAGGAAGGAATCGTCAAGAATCCTCCAGTGACAGAGAGTAAAACAGCTTCCGATAAGAACCCCAGCACAGTCAGAGATCCAGGTAGGGTAGAGCACTTTTGGGTTTTTTGTATTGGGAATCGAACTCAGGACCTTGTGCTTGCCAGGCAGATAGATGCCTGTGCTGCTAAGGGGTAGGGTGACTTGTTCCTCATTCTGGGAGAGACTCTGCACACAGCAGACAGCAGATAGGGCAGAGTCCTCAGCTGGACAGGACCACAGGTTTCAGGCCTAGGACCAAGAGCTGATCAGTTTCTGGGGGCAGAGAGGTGGGCGCATGGGCCTGGGAGTGGGCTAGGGGCCTAGAGTCCCAAGGGCAGACCTATGCCCCCTGCCCCACTGGAGACTCAGGGTTGCAGAGAGGCCTGTTCAGTCATGGTGGAGGGTAAGAAGGCCACAGGCACAGGACCTTAGTTCTGTCTTTTAGGTATGACTGTTCCTCTAACTCCTGGGGACACCCCCATCCGAAAGAAAGATGAATTGCTATTTGATGACGGGGATGACATCATGGCCACCCTGGGGTTTGGAGACAGCCCCAGCACAGAGAGGAGGCAGACGGGAGACCAGTAAGGATCTGTGTGGGTGGGGGTCCCTGGCCAGGCTGCTGCCGCAGGTCCAGGGAAATATTCAAGGGTGGGTCCTGCAGGGGCCATTTGGGAGCCCTGTGTAGTCACCTACTCCTTCCTCACCTCCCGTCCTGCAGGGAAGGGCCCTGGTCTGCTCGCTCCAAGTTGGATGAGCTTCTGGGTCGAGGCACAGCCACCAAACTCCTAGCCCGCCCAGGAACTGGGGAACACAGGGAGTTCAAGCTAGACAAGAAGTACCAGAGGTCACAGGGTGAGAAGGATGGTCCAGGACTGGAGGGCAGAGGAGGGGGCTCTCACCGAGGTTTTTACAACAGGTAACAAGAAATAACTTCATGTCATGGCACACACATTACATCTGTAACTGCAGCGGAGGTGCCGTGAGATCACTTACCCTTACCCCACCCAGCACCTGCTTGCTCTGTATAGCTGCTTTTGATGTATGAATACACTTGTCACCACTTGTCAAGTTAGCTTAGCTTAGTTTCTCAGCACTGAGAATTGAACCCAGGGCCTTGCATTGAGAGGACATCCCCAGCCCTTTATTTATTTATTTATTTATTTATTTATTTTGTATTTTGAGACAAGATGTAAATTTCCCAGTTGCCAAAGCTTTCTGTTTTCCTGCCTCAGCCTCCTAAAGTCCTGAGATTACAGCCATGCCCCACCATGCCCAGCTCAGCGTAGTTTCTTGACCCTGTGAGAGAGAGCAGGTCACAGTTGGAAAACATGCCCTTGGCCCAGTGTTTCTCACAGCATTGCTCTACTCACCATTGTGTAGGGATTTGTTCTGTGACACACAGCCCACTGGGCTTGGCCTTAGAGGGGGCAAACCCTGGCCAGTTCGTTTTGCTGGCTGATCCTGCGTAGCCCCAGTGATCCCTCTAGGGCAGCCCTACCTTAGCTTCTCTCCTGTGTCAGCTGCTGGTTCAGCATTTCTAGACAGAATCCTTCAGGGGCAAAAGTCGGTCTTCCCAGGGCTGAATACTCACCAGTGGAGGAGCACCTGCCTAGCATGTAACAGGCCTCTTGTTCCATCCCCAGCACTGCCAAAAAAGGAAAAGTTTGGTTCCCTTGTGCCAGATTCTAGAAACAGTCATAGACCCCTTCACTTTCAGACAAAGAAGACAGCTGGGATGATGAAGTCCTCACCTTTGGGGCCTACCAGCCCACCCTGGGCTCCTCTGAGGGCCGGCAGTCCCGCCGACAGTCTGTCAGGTGAGCAGGGCCTGCAGGGAGCTGGGCCTTCGAGACGGGCTGGCCACTGGGAAGACAGGTCCCCACAGCCCACATCCCACCTGACAGCCTTGTGTGGAGCTCCAGGCGCTGGTGCTGAGCACTGCAGAAGAGGGAGGCTCCCCAGAGTCCAGGCTCCCACGGGACACTGAGCCCAGATTCTGCCCTGGCTAGCAGTCCCAGGTTCCCCCCGGGACCGCTGTAAGGTAGATGCTCTGCGTGGAGCCAGAAGGGCCGTGCTATCATTTGGTCTCGGACTAGTGAGTCCATGAACCTGTGGCAGTGGCGGTTGTAGTCTGTTCCTCGTGAGGCTGCTGGTGGAGCTGCTCAGGCCTTCCTGACACTCTGCTCCTCCCGGTTTGCAACAATAGTCAGCGATGAAATTTTCTGAATTTGGAGTTTTTCTCCCAGCATATAGTTTGAACTGTATCTTGAGGTGATTCACGCTTAGGGAAAAATTGTCTGTTTTCATTTGTTTTTCATACATATTTTTTAACATCATGATCTAATTTTATTTATATTTCTGTGAGTACCAGGGATCAAACTCAGGACCTCGCACTTGCCAGGCAGGTGCTATGCTGCTGAGCTATGTCTCCAGCCCCTGTTTCGTTGTCTTTGAGACAAGAGTCTTGCTATGCTATTTAGGTTAATGTTGAACTCAGTATGTAACTGAGGTTGGCCTTGAACTTGTGATTCTTGTGCCTCAGCCTCCCAGCACGTGCCACCACACCTGGCTGTTTCTGTTTTTACTCTTTTGAGACAGGGTCTCACTGTGTAGCCCAGGTTAGTTTTGAGCACACTATGTGGCCCAGGCTGGCCTTGAACTCACAGCAATCCTCCTGCCTCCTAGCCTCCCAAGTGCTGGGATTACAGATGTATACCACCATGCTCGGCTTTATCCAAGATCAGCAGTCAGCCCTGAAGACATCAGCTGTGATAGCCTGTCTTTCCACCTAAATACTTCTCTTCCACATAGATACTATTTCTAGAACATTTTTTTTCCATTGGTGCTAGATTGAAACTAAGGCCTGTCCTCGGTTTCCAAACACATATTGCACCACTGAGCAGCATCCCCTGCCCCTCAGTCCCAGAACCTAAACCTTGGAGCCTCCAGCCCCTGACTGTCGGAAGTGGCTATGTAAATGAGCTGGAAACAAACAGGCTTGTGGGAAACTTTAACACCACTTGATCTAACTGATGTTCTCTGGACCCATATGCCCAAGGCTGTGACTTGACGCTATGCTCTTTGTGGGCACAGTCACCCCTGATTTGTGTGGTAGCAGTCAAAATGTCTCTATTTCTAGGTGTTCTGTAGATAGCACACCACCTGCCACTGCCCTTTCACCCGAGCTGGTCTGAGAGCCACTGCTCGTTGGGCCTCAGGCTGACCGTGCAGCCTGAGGGCATCATGGACTTCGGTCTGTGTGCCTCAGGCACAGAGGGAAAGGCTAGCAGGCGGCTGTGGGCACAGTGGCCTCCCCTGTCTGACACCTTTCGTTTTGTCTTGAAGCAGGTTCTTACCAGAAGGTGGCTCAGACCCCAAGGGAGAGCTGGGCTCCAAGTGGAGCCCTTCAGCCGCTTCTAGCCCCATCCACCCCAGAAGGGGAGGAGCTGAGTGGTTGGGCCTTAAGGATGAAGACTTGGACCTGCTGCCTCCCTGTCCCACCCAAGAGGCCCAAGGAGGAGACTTGGTGATCTGTACACCTCCCGTGAGCCAGCGTGCGACCCCATGCCTGCAGCCTGATCCTCCTCAGCGGCTCTCCTCAGGGACAAAGCTACCAGCTGAGGGTGCCATGTCCCCTGTCAAATCCAGCCAAGCTGCCAAGCTGGAAGCATCCAAAGAGGAAGAGGAAGAGGAAGAGGACTGGCTGAGCCATGTCTTATCTCAGAAGAAGTCCCAGGGTCTGGCCAGAGCGGAGCGCACTGGGGCCTATAAGACCATAGCAGGCTCTGCCCCTTCTGGCAGGTATGGGCTTGGGCTGCTGTGTGAGTGGAGAGAAAGAGCCAGGACCATCAGCTTTGCTACCCTTTCTCTTGAGCACAGCAGGGAGAGGACAGGGCACCCTGTTTTTGAGCTGGGCCCCTGTCCTCAGAGCCCTCAGGCTGGCAGAGAAACCCAGTGTGCACACTGGTGTTTCTGTCACCCAAGCTAGAGTGTGAGCTGAGGTTCCCCTGTGCTTCCAGGGATGTTTGAGAAGACACAGTGGCTGAGGAGCAGCTCCTGGGAGCCACAGAATGGCAGTGCAGTGGACCCGTAAGGGCAGGAGCACAGGCAGAAGGGACCAGCTAAAGGGGTCAGCAAGGCTGAGGTCCAGAGGAAGTAGTGAACTGCCATGCAGTCAACTGAGAGGAGGAGACTTGATGGCTTCTGTGAGGCCAGAGACATCAGCATGTCCTGGAGTTGGTGTGGTGGGAGGTTCACTTTGCCTTAAAGCCAAGGGAAAAGCTCAGACCCAAACACACAGAAATCACAGAAAAGAGAGTGGTTTCAGAGGTGGCCGCCCTGGGCAGCTGAGAAGAGCAGCAGTGCAGGCCCAAACAAAGCCAAGTGGACCCAGACAGGACTTTAAATTTGACATGCCTCCTGTCACTCTATAGACACATGTCACAGTGGACAGTGAGGCGGGAATAGGTCCTGCAAGGGAAAGGTAGCCACAGGCCCTAGGAGCTGAGACTTGGGAGAATTCCCCAAGTTGGTGGCAGGAACAGCAAGGCCGAGGGAAGCAGGGAGGGGCAAGGGGAACCCTGCAGGCTCCATTCTGTGAGCTTGTCTAGGGCTGGCTTCAGCCTAATCTGGGCCTCCTGTGGCCTCCATCTTTAACGTGGACTGTCCACAGCCAACTTGGTGCCAGCATTCAGGAACTCGAGCAGGCAGCTGCTACAAGGACCTTAGGAGGAGCAGCAGCGCAAGAAGCACTGGCCACCAGGCCTGATGCTGCAGGGTATGTCTGGCCCCAGGGCTGAGAGAATGAGTGGGGAGGGGGGCGCTGCCAGGCTCCCACTCCCAGAGGCAGGCACCCCCAGATTGCTGGCTGGCCTTTTTATATTTGCTATCTCTGTCAGGCCCACTGATGACAGAGCTCTTGGAGGCTGTGTCCCCTTTACCAGCTGGGTCCTGTACTTCTAGTAAACTATTAGCCACTGGGCCTTTTTACCCAGTCATTTAAACCTAAAATTTCCCTTTCCCCTGGCGAGACCACTCCTGCTCTCTCTGCATTCTACACAGAACACTGTTCAACTGGCTGCCTTGTCCTTTGTCCCCAGGTCCCCCACAAGTTACAGCCAGCCTGCCTTGGCCCTCTCTGCGGGTGACCTCAAGAGGAGAGCAGCCTCTGGAGATCCTTTTTACGATGGTTTGTTTTCTGCTTTGTTTGGGGCTGGATGAGAAAGAGGTACCTAGATCTCCTTTGGGGCTTGTATTGGTCAGCTTTTCAGCATCATGAGCAAACACTTGAGAAAAAAACTTTAAAAGGAAGCAAGGTTATATGATTCAGAGGGTCCAGTGCATGGTGAGGCAGCACATCATGATGGGGTCACATCATGGTGGGGACCCATGGTGGACAGCACGTGCTGAAGCAGAGCAGCTCAGCTCATGGCGTGCAGGAGGCAGAGAAGAGGAGAGAGAAATCTGCTCTGGTCAACGTGAGTGGGCTTCCCCCTACTCAACCCCTACTCATGCCCTCCTGCTGTATGATGCTGCCCCCACTGAGTCAGTACCGTCCCATCTCTGAAAATACCTTCACAGCCGCATCCAGCGGTGTGCAGTATTGATTTTCTGGGTGCTCCTTAATCCAGCCAAGTTTACAGCCAAAGTTAACATCACAGATCCCCAAAAGATGAGCTCCCATACACACAGGCCCGGAGCCTGGGCTCACCTGAGCTTCTCTCTCATTTCTGTGCTTCTCTGCTGTTGACTTTTCAGAGCCTGCATCTCATTTCCCAAGCTCCCAGGAACCCCCAGGGCTCCCTGTGCCTGTCCAGGTAGGGAGGGGAATAAACAGGAATAGGTCTTGGCCCCAGGGAACAACTCTCCTCGCTCAGAGGCAACTTCAGAGTGGGACATGATAACCTGCCATGCCTGATGTGACAGCAGCCAGCTTACCCTAATGTCTCCCAGCCATGCCCTCCTGAAGTTTTAGCCTCCTGACTTCAGGGAGAGTGGGTGTGACCAGGCCAGCATCAGCAGGGTTTTTGGAGGTAACAGCTAGGCAGGGGCTGCTCCAGACTGCTATTCCATCTGGAAAGCCTCTCCCACCCCTGCCGTCCTGCCATAGCCTCTCCAGTTCTGTCACCTGAGTTGGGAGAGTGGCACACAAGATCAGGTCCCTGGGAGATGGTGGGTGAAGGCAGCTTAGGGAACCAGCATAGTCTCAGCATGTGGTCTTCAGACCTGACAGGCCAGTATCAGAAGCTTTTGTGAGCAGCTAACCATGACTGCTGCTTTTCTCCAGAGCTGGAGGCCCCACTGGGGAAAATGTGGAGCAGGAGGGAGGTTGATTCACTTTCATGACCAGAGCTTAAAGTGACGGCACTGCTAGGGCTGGGAATTTAACTCAACAGCATAAGCACCTGCCTTGCAAGCGTGTGGTCGTGAGTTCGATCCCTGGTACCGATTTAAAAAAAAAAAGATTTTTAAAAGTGACGGCATTGCATTTACAGCCACAGATAAGGGACAAGGCCATGCAATCCCATGAGCAGAGAGCCAGGAAGTAGCCAAGTTCACTTACATACTGCCCTACAGTGGCTTTTGTTTTCTTCCATAGTCTGTGGTCCCAGAGTCTCTAGTGCAAAATCTGCTGCCTAGTACAGGATACCACAAGCCATTCTTGGCAGCCCAGGCACAGCTTCAGAGCAACACTGGCCCGTTGCAGGCTGAGCTGCTACAGAGCCAGGCCCAGCTGGCAGAGCTGGAGACCCAGGTGAGGGCCTCAGGGCACCTGGCGGTGGGGGCTGGAGACAGTGGGCAGTGCAGATGTGGAGAGACCCTGCACCTGAGCTACACTGTGCCTCCACTGCACCTAGGTGCGGAAGCTGGAGCTGGAGCGGGCCCAGCACAAGATGCTGCTCCAGAGTTTGCAGCAGCAGCACCAGGCAGACCTGGAGCTCATCGAGAGTGCACACAGGTACCCACCCTCATCGTGCTCATGGGCTGCATCAGGGCTGGCTTGGATCTCCTCTGAGCTGTAAGACCACAATGACATGCTCTAGGAGATCCTTTAGGGAGGCATTGTTTGAGCAGAAGCCGCATCAAGATGCTAGAGTCATCATATCAGCAACGGGAGGAGCGGCTCCGGAGAGAGAATGAGGAACTATCAGCTCGGTATCTGTCACACTGCTGTGAGGCTGAGCAAGCCCGAGCTGAGCTCACAGCCCAGCACCAGCGCCAATTGGCAGCGGCTGAGCACGAAAAAGACCAGCATATGGAGCGACTCCGGGACCTGCAGTGGTGAGAACAGACTCGGACTGTGGGAGGGGAACCAGCTGTCAAGGATCTACCAAAGGCGAATGGTGCCCATGAAAACCAGGCCGTAGCTCTACAGTCTTAGCCCAGGGCTCCCGCCCTCTCTCTCCCCTCAAGGCGAGGACCGAGGATTGACCCCACTGACCTATTTTCCCTCTGCTGAAGCCAGAGGTGGCTTATACAGAGCTCAGGGGCCCCCTAGCCATCCGGGCAGAGCTTGCCAGCAAGAAAGCACCCCAGGGCCCAGCCAAACATAAGTTAATCCACTCTCCTGCTGACCCATGGAGTCTGTCAACCAGCTCCAGCTGGCAGAGGTGTGCCTGTTGGGCTGGTATGTTGATTGGTTACTTTTGAGGTGAGATTGAAATGAAAGATACCTGTAGACACTGGGAATAGAGAAGGCCCTTTAAGGCTGCCCAAATGGACAGACAAAAAGGGTTATTCACACAGCTTGCTTTCTTTTGTTTTTTGGAGAGCTTCTTTATTTTTGTTTTTTGAGACAGGGTCTCATTATATAGTTCAGGATGGCCTTAAACTCACTTATGTAGCTCAGGCTAGCCTCAAACGAATAGCAGTCCTCCTGCATCAGCCTCCCAAGTGCTGGGATTATGGGGGTGCAGCACCATGCCCAGCACACACAACTTTCTGTTTTCTGTGAAAAGTGCCCTTTACTGAGTAAGAGGACTCTTTGCTGTGTGTGGCACTGAAACTGAGAAAGGTAAGACAGTGCCTGGAGAGGTGGAAGAGGAAGCAGAGGAGCCCCTTGGAGAGCTGTGCCTTCTGTGAAGGGATGCCATGGTCTTTATATGGCCTTGCTCAGAAGGGCCCTGGGTCTCTTCCACTGCTTCCCACAGGGCGTCCATCCTGGAGATGCGCAAAGACCATGATGAGCAGCTGCAGCGGCTGAAGCTGCTGAAGGACCAAGAGATTGATGCCGTCACCAGTGCCACCTCCCACACACGGTTTGTGTGCCGACAACCCTGCCACCCAAGCCCAGGTCTGGACGTCCCCAGGACGAGGTGTTCCATCCTCTTGCAGGTCCCTGAATGGCATCATCGAGCAGATGGAGAAGTTCTCCAGCAGCCTGAACGTGCTGGCCTCCCGCGTGGAAGCCTCGCATCTCACTATGGCGCAGGAGCGGGAGCTGGGCGTCCGGCAGCAGGACAAGCAGCTGCGAGGTACACCCTATCTCCCATCTCCCATAGCCAGGCCCCCTCGGTGGAAAGGAGGGCAAAATGTCTATGCGCCTTCCCCAGTGCTACAGGAGCGGCTGGGCCAGCAGCAGCGGGACATGGAGGAAGAGCGTGGCCGTCTGCAGGAGGTCATCGGGAAGATGGAGGCACACCTGAGTGAGCAGAGCCGGCTCCTAGAGCAGGTGTGCTGCCTCTCCTTACGGTCAGTGCCCTGCTGCTCCGTCCCACTCTTGCCTGGCCTTAGCACTGCCCAGGCGGGCTGTCTACCACCTGCTCCTCGGTCCCCAGCCACGTGGCCACTCTCCATAGTCTTCCCACCGTCAGCTGCACCTCCCTTTCCCCCTTCGATCTGTGACATGGGGACAGACACTCCACTAAATGTCACTTTACCTCCATAACTATGACACACGACACGTGTTTAACTTCTTACATATCATTCATCTTTCATGCATAAGAACCTTATTACATATATTTTGGCCTTGCACTTACCAGGCAGGCATTTGTGCTGCTGACCTACATCCCCAGCCAAGCCTTATTTTAAGAAGAGTACCCTTCGCACTGTTATAATAATGTTACATTAAAAAAAATTAAAATAGGCCAGGCATGGTGGTGTACACCTGTAATCCCAGCACTCAGGAGGCTGAGGCAGGAGGATCATTGCGAGTTGGAGACCAGCCTGGGCTACAAAGTGAGCTCAAGGCCAGTGTGAACCACATGGTGAGACCCTGTCTCAAAAAAAAAAAAAAAAAAGTATATATATATGAAACAATAAAGAAAATTAAAATTACCACTAGGCAGAGATATTCATGGACAGTGATATCCCATGGCCATTCCAACCTAGATACAGATGCTTTTCTATCATGACCACATCTGCATACTCTGACTGGAGCTGTCGAGCACCTCTTCAGGCCAGGCAGTCGGCGTCCTACTTTCTGTCTGCATGTACCCTGAGCCCCAAGCACAGTGATGAGTTCTCCTGTGCTCCTCTGCTTGGCTGATGTGTGACAGGCAGCAGAGCCCCAGAGTTGGTGATTTAGGAAGGGATGTGACTGTCCTTTGCACTAGCCATGATGTAGCTGGAGACCCCTGAGCCCAGGCCAGGTCTCTCAGGTACCTCCAACTTCGCTCAGGAGTTGTAGATAGGTTTGCACAGCTCCTTGAGGACCAGCCATGCCAGCTCCAGCATCAGGAGCTGGCCCTGAGCCCTGCCGTGTACCCTGCAGGAACGCTGGCGAGTGAACGCGGAGCGGTCCAAGGCAGAGTCCATGCAGCGTGCCCTGGAGGAGCAGAGGAAGGTGATGGTCCAGCAGATCACCATGGAGAGGGAGGAGCTGGAAAGGGTCAAGGTGAGTCCAGCACCACATCCATTGCTGACCCCAGCACAATGCACAGGGACACTCACACCATGCACCTGCCCTCGAATCCAGAGTGCCTTGCTGGAGGAGCAGAAGTCAGTCATGCATAAGTGTGGGGAGGAGCAGCGGCGCCTAGCCGTGGAGTGGGCAGAGTTCTCCACGCAGCAGAAGCTGAGTAAAGAGCGAGCAGAGCGTGAGATGGAACGAGCACTGCAGGTGGACACCCAGCGGGAGGGCACCATCATCAGCCTGGCCAAGGTAGGACCCAGTGCCTCCAGGACAGCCCCAGTTTTTCTGGGAGCATCAGCTTCCAGGCCTAGAAATTTCAGTGGTACCTCGATTCGCACTCAATCCTCTCCATGATTCTGGTTGCAAACCAAAGTGGAGGAGAACTGAATCAGATTCTTTCATGAGGTCACATTGAACCTAACCACAGAGTCTGTCAGTACCCATCCCACTTGGTTTGCCAACAGAACTGTGGAGAAAATCAAGTTTGTGAACTGAAGTACCACTGTAAGGTCACTGCAATAAGAATACAGGAACCAGCTGGGCTTGGTGGCACAGCCTGTAATCCCAGCTCCTCACGAAATTGAAGGAGAAGGATCGCAAAGTCAATGACCAGCTGGGCTGTTTAATGAGACCATGTTTCAAGCTGCGTGCTGGAGTGCTTACCTAGCTCGCTTAGGTCCTGGGGTCAATCTTTAGGATCCAAAAAGAATTAAAACAGTGGTTCCCTCATTGCAATAACTTCTTTGCATTGTTTAAGGCAGTTCTTGCACATTTCCCTCAGTCTACATTGGTTCTCATAACAGACATTTTTGGTTTGGTTTGGTTGTTTTGTTTTGTTTTGAGACCGGGTCTCACTACATAGTTCTGGCTGGCCCTGCACTCACTATGAAGCCAGCAGTGGATTTGAACTGATGGCCATGGTGATCTTTCTGTCTCAGTCTCCCCAGTGCTGGGATTTCAGGCGTGTGCCACCATGCCTGGCATGACAGGCATTTTAGAGACATGGTGGGGCTAGAGAGTAGCTCAGTGGTAGAGCACTTGCCTAGCATGCTTGGGGCCCTGGTTCAATCCCTAGTACCACAAAAAAAAAAGAAAGAAAGAAAGAAACTGCAGTTCAGAAATAGGCCTGCAGTGGTTACACTGCTGTGAGGATCACCTGACCTGGCCCCAGGCCTGGGACCCATTCTGGAAGCCACTGCCCCTCCGAGAGGCAGGACAGGCAGGGCGACCTTATAGGTTTTGCACCGAGTCTGGGACAGCCCCCAGGAGGCGAGACAAAGGTTGTGCCTTCCCTAGGAGCGGGCAGAACTGAAGGTCAGGGCCAGCGAACTCCGGGTCAAGGAGAAGCAGTTGGCAACTGAGAGGGAAGCGGTGGAGCGGGAGCGGCAAGAGCTGCAGCTGGAGAAGGAGAATGTTAAGGCCACAGCCCTGAGCCTGCAGCTGCGAGCTGAGGAAGTGGAGCACTTGAGCGAGGTACGGCTGGACAGGTCCAGGGCTTGGGCCACCAAGTGACCCCACCTATTCCTAATCCAGCAGGCTCCTTGCAGGTGGCCTCCAAGAAGTACAAGGAAGGCGAGCTTGCACTGCACAAGGCCCGACAGATGCAGTCCGAGCAGCAGGCCAGGCTGCAGGTCCTGCAGAGGCAGCAGGAGCGGCTTCGGCAGCAGGAAGAGCATGTGCACCAGGTACCCCACCCCCACCACCCCAGCCCCTGTGCCCACTGCCAGCTGCTGAGTCCTGTCTTGGGTTGGGTGTAGGAACACCTGAGTCTGGCCCAGCAGAGGCTACAGCTCGACCATGTGCGACAGGACCTGCCTTGCTGCCCCTCAGAGCTTTCTCCCAGGGCCCAGGGCCCAGCGCACTCCAGCCTTCGTGGTAAGTGGCTCCAGGAGAAAGAACAGCTCAGCTGGCCCACCTCAGGGCTTCAGGCGGACTCAGCAGGGCCTCCAGCCATTTGAGTTAGGAGCAGCTGGGTGTCCCCACCCCACCCCCTCCCCGTACTGGGAATCAAACTCAGAACCTTGCACTTGCCAGGCAGGCATTTACGCCCCTGAGCTACATCCCTGGCTCAGGCAGCTGTTTTGTTTTGTTTGTCGTTTTGAGACAGGGTCTCACTATGCAGCTCCGGCTGGCCTTAAGCTGACTTTGTAGTCTAGGCTGGTCTTGAAACAATCTTCCTACCTTAGCCTTCCGAGTGCTGGGATTACAGAGGTGAGCCACCAGCTAGGCAGCTGAATTTTAAAGTTACCATGTTACTGCGTGCAGTTGTGTGTGCACGCGTGCATGTACAGACGAGCACATAGCACTGGGGATGAAACCTCAGAGCATTCTACCACTAAGCGACATGCTCAGGACCCTCTCCCTCTCTGTATTTGTTAACTGGAGATAGGGTCTCAGTACTAAGCTACCCAGGGTGGGTTAAACTTGGAATCTTCCTGCCCTGAAAGATGTATAATACCAACCCCGCATCTTGTTAGTGTTTCTGTTTTGTTTTGTCTTTTTATAGTGGGGATTGAACTCAGAGTCTTTATGCCTACCTACTTCTCTAGACCTGTTTTTATTTTGAGAGAGTCTAGTGTGCTAGGCATGTAATCATACAGGCTGGTAATCCTAGCACTCAGGAGGCTGAGACAGGAGGATTACTGCAAATTCAAGGCCAGCCTGGACTACACAGTGAGTTCAAAGCCAGCCTAAACTACATAGAGAAACCCTGTCTCAAAAAGACAAAAAAGTAAAACACATTATGGTGTCTAATATTTTGTTTACTTATTTATTTTCCAGTACTGAAGACTGAACCCAGGGCCTTCACACTGAGCTATATTCCCAGTCTTTTTTTTCTTGTTTTGAGACAGGCTTTCACTAAGTTCCCCAGGCTCAAACGAATGCTTCTCCTGTCTTAGCCTCCTGGAATATGCTACCACACCTGGCTTAGTGTATAAGGTTGTTTTGTCTTATTTTATTTATTTATTTTGGTTTTCTGAGATAGGGTGTTGTCATGCAGTTCAGGCTTGCCTGTTGTCTTGGACTCACTATGTATTCCAGGCTTGCCTCAAACTCACAGCAGTCCTCCTGCCTCAGCCTCCCACATGCTGGGATTATAGGCTTGCTCTACCACACTGGTTTGTGGGAGGACCGAAGTGGGGGAAGCAGCCGTGCTGCCTGGTTTCCGACCACACCCTACCCCGGCTTCTTCCTCATAGCTTCCTCCACCTACGTGGCTCCTGCCCTCTCTTCCCATCAGCACAGCCAGCTCTTGGCCAGCCCTGGCCCTGCACACCTTCTTGCCAAGCTGGTCCTGCTGAAACACACAGCGGAGCAGGTGAGCATGTCCCTGGACTCAGGTCACTCTGGTCACACTTGCAGAGTCCTTCCAGCTCAGGGCAGAGGCAGCAAGGCTGGGAGAAGACAGACTGCTTAGTGCGTAATTCCTGAGACCTCTGCCTTAGGCCAGGTTCCCGACAAAGCACCTGGCAAAAGTCCTCTGCATCACACTGCAAGTGACCACTGGTAATAGTGACAGCGGCTGTCACTCAGCGTGTCCTGTATGCTCAGCTCAGTGCCAGTGGCTTTATATGCCTCGTAAGCTTCACTTGGACATAAGGAAACTGAGGCTTAGAGACAGAATGATGTGCTGCTAAGTGGCCCTTGGAGGACAGATCACGGCCATCTCATTCCTTACCTGGCCGCTTTGTGCTCCCTGCTGCCTCCCAGAGTCAGGGAGTAGGTAGGGAGGGTGCCCAGTTAGGGCTGGCCAAGCAGGATCTAGGTCCCCTCTCAGTGCAGAGAGCTGTGAGCTGGTATCTGAATCTGCCTGGCAGGACCGGGACTTCCTGGAGAATGAACAGTTCTTCCTGGAGGCTCTGAAGAAGGCACCCTACAATCTGCCCTCCCACTCGGCCTAAGATTGGCAGCTATGCCCTCAGTGCGGTGCGAAGACCCAGCAGCTCCCACAAACCCCCAGCTCTCAGTGAGGTGTGCACTAAGGCTGGCACTGCCCAGGCACTTACAGGGCTTCACAGAGACAGGGTGCCAGCGTATTGTCCACAAGAGCTGCAGCTCATGCCTCAGACTCAGGGGTGGGGCAGGAGGCCAGGCAATCTAGGGGTCCAAGGAGGCAGGGCCCCCCAGCCCGACAGCTGTACACCCTGCCCTGATCTGCAGTGGGTCTCTGTGCCTGGGCCTCATCCATGGTGGGGCCTTTTCTCCAGGGATGCTGTAGGCAGACTTCCATCCCTACCCAGCAGGGACACAGAATAGCCTTCTGGGTGGCCTGGTGGGGACAGGGAAGGTGCTATGCCCAACCAGAGTCCTCTACACAGTGTGCTGGATTCCTGGGATTCAGTCCCTCAAACTCGCTTCTCTCCCTGGTTACACAAGGTCCACCCCTCATTTCCACACTGCCCAAGTCGCCACCTGGGCTCCACCATCATCCACGCACCATCAGGGAAGGGAGCAGAGCTATGGGCAGTGGTGAGTGTGGGAGGGACAGAGCAGGAAGCCAGCCCCAGCCTCTGTCCCAGGCGGGAGGAAGGTAGTGATGGGAACCTGTGAGGGGCCACTGACACCCAGGCTGCTGTTGGTTGCGTGCCTTTGCCATCTGCCATGTGCAGGCTCTGTGCCAAGTCCAGTAGAGAGCGGTTGGGAAAGGGGGCAGGGGGCTAGTGAGCAGGAGGACAGAAGAGAAGTGCCCTGTGGGTGGGATAGAAGTGGCACCATTTGTATCTCTGCCCTTCAGAAGAGCTCTCCGAGGGACCTTATTTATTTGCCAACAGTTCACAGCTCTGGTGTCCGATATATTAAACTGCTATATTCTTTTTGTATTCCCGTTTTTTGGTTTTGTTTTGTTTTTGTGGTGCTGGAGATCAAACCCTAGGCCTTGTGTGTGCTGGGCAAGTGCTCTGCCACGGCGCTGTCCCCAGCCCCTCACTGAAGAGCTTTGCAAACCACATTTGCATTTATGAAAACCCACTGTGGCTGGAGGGTGGGGACAGAGGAAGGATTAGAAGATTGTTTGCAAGGGACAAAAGGCGGGACTATCCCCAGCACAGTGGTGAGCTGTCACACAAAAGTGCTCCCTCGGCACCCAGTGCTGGACATGGGTCAGAAAGGAAGATGCTTGGGATGGGGATTTAGCTCAGGGGCATAAAGCCCCTGCCTTGCAACCGTGTGGTCATGATTTGGATCCTTGTTACTGATTTAAAAAAAAAAAGGAAGAAAGATGCATGACAAGGTAGGAAGGGTCAAGGAGGACCCACAGCTGTGTGGCTGCATAGTGTTGCTACCAGTGAGGAGCTACTGCCCGTAGGACGGCCAAGCAGAGACATCCCACTGATACTTGGTGATGACACTTTCCTTATCTCTGTCACCACGGGCACTAAGATGTGACAGGAAGCCCGATTATCCCCTTACATTGCCTCTCTCCAGACTGGATACCTGCTTTTTCTCCTTAAAAATTGTAACAACTCACGGTCATGCTTCTTTCAGTTACTTTCAGAGCAATCTTAGTAGAAAGTAATAAAGAAAACATTGGTACCCAGTTCCAAGGCTCATTTGTATATACTGTTTGCTTCAAGTTGATCCACAAATCAAGCATGGGTCTTTCAAAGGGCAGCACTGCAAAGGCCCTGTGCCTAGGGGCTTTGTGGACCTGGACCTCAAGTAAACACCAGGCCTTCCCACCTCTGCCTGGATACCATGTGTCATAAGCTGTAGAAGGGCTAGGCTGGGGTGGCCTTAGAGACATACAGAAGAGCATCCAGCAACAAAAGTAAAACAGTAAAAGGAACCACGAGGTAAACGCAGTCCAGTTCTTACATACTGCTCATGCAGCAAGAATTGCACAGTAAACAGCAGCTCTTTAGGGGCAGGACTGGCCTGGCCGCTGCTGGCCTGTGGCCTCCTCATGCCTTACCAGAGAGCAGTGTGCAGCGGGTGGATTAGAGGTGATGAGAGGTTTAGCTTTTTGGCTGTATGGTCACCTCCTACTGAATGGAGAGATGCTAATTCTTCGGTGCCAGAGCAACTGACCCTGCCCACAGCTTCATCTCAGGGTGTCAGGGAAGGCATCTGGGTCAGATCATTTCTGTGGCCCATTCCCTGGGCCACAGAGGGAAGTGTAGAAAGCATAAGTGACCACGTGTGCAATGGTCCTGTGGCCTGAGGAACTGGGTGTGCAGAGGAAATGGTGGTCTGCTGCGCTAGGCTCATATTCTAGGGCAGAGCGTGGGGGCTGGGCAGAAGAGGATGGGAATCACTTGGGCTCACCTTGTTAGAAATGGATTCCGAGGACAATGCAGATCCATAAAAGACACAATCTGCTCCCATGTCCTTAACCAGGTCCCTGCTGCTGCTGTGTGGTTAGCGGCAAACTGCAGATGATGGAGAAGAGCTACACTTATACCAGGGCCAGTACTATGTTAATTCAGATCTAACAACCCTGGTATTACTTTTTTTTGAGGGGCAGGGTCCTGCAAGTGAGAGAACTACAAGGGTAACAGGATGGAAGGTCACAATCTGGAATTTAAATCCAAGCATTTAGAGTCCAGAATCCGAGTGCGGACTCCACTCCTTCCCGTCCCTCACCCCTGGTTTGCACGGCCGGGAGCTCAGGATGTCTCACTCACGGTGCAGCGACCCATAGACACACAGACCCGTCCCGGTTCTGGGCGCTCCCGGGCTGTTCACCCCCTGGTGCCCGTACGTCGCTCTGGCCAGCCCCGCACCAGGCACTTGCTGATCCCGCGGCCCGGCCCGCGCAGGCGGAAGGCGCTGAGGCCCCGGAAGGAGGAGTCCAGGGCTCAGGCGCTGCCGCAGCCACCTCTCGGGGTCCTCGCGGCGGCGGGCCGGGGAAGATGGCGGCGCCCTGGTGGCGAGCCGTGCTATGCAGGAGTCGGGGATGGCGAAGCTTCAGCACCTCGGGTGAGGGATCCGGGGCCCCGGGAGCTCTTAGTCCCCTGTCTGAGACAGGCCGCGCCCCTGGGGATCGGATCGGAGCCACCGTAACCCCCCTCTCTGCGCGCAGCTGCCCGGTGCCGCCGGACGCCCCCGCTGGGGCCGATGCCCAACCAGGACATCGACGTGAGCAACCTGGAGCGGCTAGAGAAATACCGGAGCTTCGACCGCTACCGGCGCCGAGCGGAGGAGGAGGCGCGGGCCCCGCACTGGTGGCGAACCTACCAGGAACATTTTGGGGAGAAGACAGGTGCAGAGCGTCGGGAGCCGGAGCTGTGGGCATCCGGCACGGATTTTGGGTCGGAGGCCGCTGGCGGCACGCTCCCCCCCACCAGCGAGCGAGCCTGGCGGGCGCTCTTGCGCGCCTGGGGCCTGGGAGGGTTAGGGTTAGGGTTAGGGTTAGGGTTCGGGTTCCCTAACCCTAACCGTAACCCTAACCCTCCGTGCCCTGTTGGCCAAGTAGACCTGCAACGAGTTTCACACGTTTTGCGCTCACCAGGCAGGCACTTATGCCACTGAGCTAAACCCCCGGCCTCCAGCTTCTGAAATGCATATTTCTAAGCTCCTTTCCTGACAGCTTCCCCATTCCTCATTGGTCCCCCTTTGTGTTCCTTAAGGACTCTGCACCCATATCCCTGGCCATGCTGTGTCTAGCTGCCTTTTTTCGCCTTTCCGCGGATCATAAACACTCAGCAGTTGGGGATTCTGATAGTCTTGCTCACCTTTGGGTCCTTGCACGCTCAGTGCCTGGCACCATGTGTCCTTTGTTAAGTGAAATTAAAGCTCTGAGCAAGGTGACTCAAGAAAGGATGCAGGGTTTAAGGAACGTACCAAGTACATCCATTTTTATGTGGAGTGTGGTGGTTTTCACATGTAACCCCAGGAGATTCACCATGAGTTTGAGGCCATCCTAAACTACATAGTGAGACCTTGTCTCAAAAAACAACAAAATGAACCAGGTGTGATGGTGTACTTCTGTAGTCCCAGCACTCAGGAGGCTGAGGCAGCAGGATCATTGCAAATTCCTGACCAGCCTGGACTGTGTAGTAAGACCCTGTCTCAAAAAAAAAAAAAAAAAAGACATAAAAAAATAAAACCGTAGGTGTAGGGGCTGGGGATTTAGCTCAGCAGCATCAGTGCCTGCCTTGCAAGCAGGCAGTCGTGAGTTCAATCCCTAGTACCAATAAAAAGGAAAAAGACAAAAAAAAAAAAAAAAAAAATTGACAGCCAGGGATTTAGCTCAGTGGCTCAAGTGCTTGCCTGATAAACACAAAGTTGTGAGTTCAATCCTGGTACCAAACCAAAAAAAAAAAAAAGAAGAAGAAATTCTTGTTCAGGGCTGGGGATTTAGTCAGCGGCATAAGCACCTACCTTGCAAGCAGGCAGTCATGAGTTCGATCCCCGGTACCGATAAAAAGGAAAAAGACCAAAAAAAAACCGTAGGTGTGTGTGTCCATAGCTAGCTGCAATCCTACTTGTAATTAGAATGATCCTATTTCTCGATTTCCCATGCCTTAAAAAAGATAGTGTGGCATGGTTTAGGAAACTCCAAAACCACCTTTCCTTATGTGTGATTTGCTAACAGCAGGGCTCTCTTCAGATGTGGGGGCCGACTGTAGAGTCTCTTTCTTTTATGAATCAAAGGGAAATAAATCTCCAGCAGCAGACCTAGAGGGCTGGATAGGGACAGCTTAACCCAGCGAATCAATCCTGCTTTCAATGCATCTTCCTTCCCCAGACCCTAAAGACAAAATTGACATCGGGCTGCCTCCACCCAAGATCTGCCGAGCGCAGAGGCTGCTGGAACGCAAACGAATCCGCCAGGAGCTTCGAGCCAGCGTGGAGGAGGAACGCGCAGCCCGCCTCCGCACAGGTAGGCCTCCAAGGAGGGGCGCCTCTCCGTCCCTGTCCCCACTCTGCATCCGACTTCTCGTTCCTTTCTAGCCAGTGTTTCTCTTGAGGCTGTGCGTGAGGAATGGGAAAGGACCTGTGGCCCCTACCACAAGCAGCGACTGGCTGAGTATTGCGGCTTGTACAGAGACCTGTTCCATGGTGCCACTTTCGTGCCCTGGGTTCCCCTGCGCGTGGCCTATGCTGTGAATGAGGTGGACCTGATGCCTGTGTACTATGGCAATGAAGTGACTCCCACCGAGGTAGGTGCTACTCTGTCCTTTTCCCTGCCTTGTTGATCCACATTGCAGTGTCACAGACATGGCCCAGGTTTAGGTTTCCTGGAAAATCAAACATGAGAGTTACAGATACAGTAACATGAAACATAGGAGAAAGAAGATCCATTTTTGCATGTTCCTGGGACTGCTCACTGGTTTTGGAGGGACTTTCCAGGCTCTGTCCCTTGGTACATGGTCCATTTTATGGTTCAGATTTTAGAACAGGCAGCTCTACAGGTCCCTCCTGGCAGCATCTCTTGGCCTGTGTACTTCTGTGAGGGGCTGTCAGGGGCCGCCTGAGACTCCAGCTCTCAGGAAAGGCATTCTGTTCACAGAGGCTTGTCTGTCCCTGCTGGGGGTGGCAGCTTGCCTGTTCTCTTTCCACCAGGCTTCCCAGGCCCCAGAGGTGACCTATGAGGCAGACAAGGACTCCATGTGGACACTGCTTCTCGCCAACCTGGGTAGGTGTCTGAGACCCTCCCAGCCTCCTGCCTCTTCCTCCCCTGAGCCAGGAAGCCGAGGAGGGCAGGGCGTAGCGCTCCAGTTCCTCCTCCTTCCACAGAGGGTCTGTGGGGCCAGTGGTCAGGGTGTGTTTCCATGCAGATGGACACCTGCGGGACCCAGATGCCGAGTACCTCCACTGGCTGGTGTGAGTATCTGGTGGGACAGAGCAAGGGTGTACAGAGACCCCGGAACCTTGCAAGGGGATGCATCATAGACTGACCATGGGATTGATTTTTGTTTTGAGACAGGGTCTCACTATGTAGTGCAGGTTGGCATTGAACTCATTTATGTAGCCCAGGCTGGTCTCAAACTCATGGGGCTCCTGACTCGACCTCCCAAGTACTAGGATTATAGGTGTGCACCAGTTTGCCTGGCTTAGACCATGGGATTCCGCACTAGCCTCTCAGCCCAGGCAGTGACCCTTCCCCTGTGCCTGGTGGTGCGGCCCTGTGATCCAGCGTACACTTGGCAGGTGCAGAAGAGGGCAGTGGGCCTCAGCTGGTCCGTACATGTAACACTAGGATGAACTGCTGTGTGTCTTCCTACCCTGAGGGGTGCTAGGACAGAGGGATGAGGACTGGGAGAGGCCACCAGCAGCTGTGACATCCCCAAACCCTTTTCAGGAAGTCCAACATGGGCTGCCCTTTTTTCTCAATGGCTTTGGTTCTGAGCATCAGGCAGCAGCAGAGGTCAGGCAGGTGCCCCCAACTTTGGGACTTGGAGGTAACTGAAGCCAGGAGCTGGGAGACTGGTTCCTGTCATTGTTATTCAGCAGTAGGTATCTACCTGTGCAGCTTGAGTGGCCACACCAGTACCATGCTGGGCAGACTCTCCCTGGTAAGACCCCAGAGTTCTAAGAAAAGATAAAAGCGACCAGCGGTGATCCAGCTTTCCAGCCTGAGTGGCAGGGCACACCCAAGTCCTGGGGCCAGGCAGAGAAGTTGTGTGGCCAAGCTGTATCCTGCCAGTCCAGAGCCCTAGTCCTTGCCTCTGAGCCCCTTTGCTCCCTGCACCTGTTTGCAGGACATTTGTGGGGGTTACAGAGCTTATCCTGTGTGAATCTGTCCCCTCAGGGAAGGACTTTACCCTCACAGGCCAGAGATGCCCTTGGCACCTCCCTCCTGTGGCAATTAATAGATTCTTGCCTTCTACCAGAACCAACATCCCAGGTAATAGCGTGGCTGAAGGACAGGAGACGTGTCCCTACCTGCCCCCCTTCCCTGCCCAAGGCTCCGGTTTCCACCGCTTCGCCTTCCTGCTCTTCAAGCAGGACAAGCCCATCGACTTCTCCAAGGATACTCGCCCCTCACCCTGGTAATCGTTAGGCCAGTTCCCCGGCCCTGTTCTCTCTCGTGACCTAGGTCTTGAGACTGGCGGGAAAGACTTCCAGTATTGATGACGAGGGTGGGAGAGGGCAGAGTTCGGTCACCCCCTCTGAATTCCCAGCTGTCCCCATCTTCTGACAGCTACCAGCTGGCCCAGAGGACCTTCCACACCTTTGATTTCTACAAGAAACACCAGGAAGCCATGACTCCTGCTGGCCTGGCCTTCTTCCAGTGCCGCTGGGATGACTCTGTCACCTATACCTTCCACCAGCTTCTGGGTAAGGGAAGGGGGGTCTAGGAAGTGGGGGGATAGTGCCCAGCTGGACCCCGCCAGGGACAGGCAAGGAGTCTGTCCTATCCCTGGGCCTTCACTCTTGCAGACATGCGGGAGCCCGTGTTTGAGTTTGTCCGGCCGCCCGCTTACCACCCAAAGCAGAAGCGCTTCCCCCACCGGCAGCCCCTGCGCTACCTGGACCGGTACAGGGACAGTCATGAGCCTGCCTATGGCATCTACTGAGGCACCGTGGTATTGCCCCTCCAGAGGGCCTCTCTCTGAGGTCTGTGCCTTGCCTGAGGTAGCCCGACCCACCGTGAGCCCCTCCTGTCAGGCCCAGGTCTTGGAATGAAGGACACTGCCGTGGGGGCAGGTAGAGAGGTGTGAATAAAGATTTCTGCTATCTCTGGACTGAGTCTGCATCCCAGGAATAGCAGAAAGCACCAGAAGGGGGCTGCCTCCCAGTCCTCTGCCACCCTCCCCGTCCCCCCAGGCAGTCGGGCCCTGCCCTGTGATCCAGTGGCTGAAGAGGATGAGGCCTGCTGGTCTCCTAAGCTCCTTCAAGAGATTGCTCAGAGCCGCTGCACAGCTCTGTGCTGAGCGCTTGCATGGCGTGGCGTGCGCCAGGCCTTGCCCTTGATGCACAACAACAAAGAATAAAAAATAAAAGACACCTGTGTGCTGGCAGGCTGCATCCTGTCCCGTTCCCCCCAACACACACACACGCACACGCGCGCGCACACACACACACACACACACACACACACACACACGCCTTGGATGAGCAGCCCTGACTGCTCACAGAGACTTCAGATATAATCACCCCTCGGCCAGGATGCCCTGACCCCCACTGGGTAGTTGTGTTTCTCCCCCCACATGAAGGCCACTGGTAGCAGGTGACAGGGAGATCTGTCATGTTTTCCAGAATTCAGGGCACTTCACAGACAACACAGTGCTTACGGCATTGTAGGGAGAAGCTGCCCTGGCCACATCACCTGGCCAGACACTGCCTGGAGGCCGGGTACTGCTCAGAGCCCCTTTGACTGCTCAGTGGAGGGGAGGGATATCCAAGTTACTCCAGCCCAGGGACTCATCTCAAGGGAGTCGCATAAGAAGGGGAGCTAGGCTGGGGATTTAGCTCAGCGGCATGAGCGCCTGCCTTGCAAGCAGGCAGTCAGTTCAATCCCTGGTCCCAGTAAAAAAGAAAAAGACAAAAAAAAAAAAAGAAAGGGAGCTGAATGTATTGGTGTCTGTTAAAGAGGGTTTACTGGTGAGGTGGCCTGGTCCTCTAATCCCAGCTAGGGAAGCTGAGGCAAAAGGACCAGGTCAGCTTGGGCAACAGCAGGAGACCCTGACTCAGGAAAGAGGTGGGGAAACTTCCACTGTTAATAGTTTTCTCTCTTGGTAACCAGAAACTTCCAATTTGTTGACTTCAGAAGAACCAAAAGTATGCATAAGCCAGAGACATACCCCAATTTGGAGAGTTCCTGAAACCCACCTCCAGGAAGAAGTGCAACAGAGCACCTGGGGTCAGGAGAGGACTTTTATGGAGTACCCTCCCCACGGGCAGCAGTTAGTTGCAGGAAGGCCATTCAGAGAAGCCACCAGATAGCTCTAGGTGCCCACATGCCCAGTGGGGTTCCTAAACCTCTGGTGGTTTGTTTTTGTTTTGTCCCTGACAACCTCACTATGAAGCCTTGGCTGGCCCTGAACTCCTGATCCTCCTTCTACCCTCCCCCCAAACTTTGGGATTACAGGCATAGGCCACCATGCCCAACCTGCAAGGCTCTGGCCTCCAGAGGCCAAGGCCCTATCCCAGCAAGAGCCAGGCTGAGGGCCTAAGCAAGCAGGATGAAGGTGCCAGGGGTGTCCTGGGCACTTGCAGGCAGCAGGTCAGCGGACATGGGAGCAGGGCCACCCCAGGCCTGCAAGCACCAATGAGCCTCTGGGCGGGGCCCTGGCTCCTTCCGCGACAGTCCGGCCCTCGCAGTCACCCGCCCCGCCCGCTGCCTCCGCCATGGCTGCAAAGCTCATGGAGGACAAGCTGACCTGTTCCATCTGCCTAAGCCTCTACCAGGACCCGGTGACGCTGCCTTGTGGTCACAGCTTCTGCGCAGCCTGCATTCGGAGCTCGCGGCGCTGCTGCGAGGCCTGCCCTGACTGCCGCGAGCCCTTCTCCGAAGGCGCCGGCGAGCCACGCCGCAATGTGGCGCTCAGCGGGGTGTTGGAGGCGCTGCATCTCGATCCCCCGGAGCCCGGCCCCGAACCTCGTACCGCCACACGCTGTCCCCGCCACGGTCGGCCGCTCGAGCTCTTCTGCCGCACCCAGGGCCACTGTGTGTGCAGCGCGTGCACCGTGCACGACTGCCGCCTCCACGAGCTGGCGCTGTTGGACGTGGAGCGCCGGGAGCGAGAGGTGACACTACCGGGCGGGGCGCCTCTCCGCAGGGAATGTCGTGGGCAGGGGCGACATGAGCTTCCGGGGTCCAGGAACCCATGCTTAGTGCTGAGACTCGAGGGTCTATCCATACGACTGGGGTAACCAGCCCACCAGTGTCCAGCGTTGCAGGAGTGCTCCCGGCCCCCCGGGTGAAAGCAAAGCCCAGGTATTGGGCAGTGCTGGCGGCTGAAAAGCAGTAGGTGCCCCTGAGGGTTCCTCATCAATAAATTGCGGGGGCGGTGGGGAGGTGCGTATTGGCAGAGACGTCAGCTGTGATCTCTGCCCTGAGAGACTTAAAGATCGCCGTGAGGAGTCAGTGAACCCAAATGGGTTGCAATATGCAGTAAAGAAAGCGTGCAACACTTTAAGAGACAACAGAGTGATCCTGCTTGGAGGGCAGGTAAGACAGAAGGATCTGAGGAAGTGGCCAAGTGGCAGCGTGGGCTGCTCAGATGGGAAGGAAAGGACAGGCCTGCTGGGGGCAGATGGGTGAGGATCTGGAGCAGATCCTTCAGTCAGCAGGGCCGGACCAGGAAGGGCCTGTGGGCCATGTGAGGAGCTGGCTCTTCCTCCTGGGGAGTCCCTGGGGTCCATTGCAGGTTTGGTCAGGACAGTAAGTTAACAGAGAGTCCACTTCTCTGAGGCCATTTCCTCGTGGTAGTTGTGGTCACTACCTCACAGTGCTGTTGGGTGGAGCAGAAGCCAGTAGTGAGGCCTTAGGAGGAGATCAAGTCCTCAGGTGGCCAGGGTCAGGGCTGCTAGCATCAGCCAGGTCTGACCTCTCATGAGGGCACACTGCATCCTCAAGAGATTTAGGGCACAAGCAGGTATGGCCCCCTGCTTCGCCTTGCCTGTTTGTCAGAGGCTCTGGGTCATCACCCCTCCTTCCCCGCAGGGTGACCTGAGCCAGCATTATGCTTCCTGCTTGTTGACTGGGGAGCTGGAGGAGAGATTGTGGCCCGGCTCGCTCAGCCTGAAGGCAGTAATAGGGCTAGAAGTTGGATCTTTTTTTTTTTTTTTTTTTGTCTTTTTGCGTTTTATCGGTACCGGGGATCAAACTCACGGCTGCCTGCTTGCAAGGCAGGCACTTATGCCGCTGAGCTAAATCCCCAGCCCAAGAAGTTGGATCTTTAGCTCTCTGGGTCTCCTGCTTAGTTCTGGCTTTGTGCTGAGGCTGCTGGCCTAGTTGATAGCATCTGAAGAAACTTCAGAGTCAATCCTGTCCTTTTTTTTGTTGCTCAACCCCTGGGTGGGCCCTGCAGGCTCAGCTGAGAGCCAAGCTGGAGGTCACCCAGCAGCAGGCCACTCAGGCCAACGTCCAACTCCAAGAGCTGCAGCAGCAAAGGAGCCAGATCCAGGTACTGGGCCTGTCGGTCACCCCACCACATCTCACTGCCCTCAGGATGCCCCTGAGACACAGGCTGTAGGTATGAGCCGCTATCTTGAAAATGCTTCCTTGGGGGCTGGGGATTTAGCTCAGTGGCATAAGCGCCTGCCTTGCAAGTGCGCAGCTGTGAGTTTTTTCCCTGGTACCAACTAAAAAAAAAAGAAAAATTGCTTCCTGGCAGCAGAAAGTGAGGGCCCCAGCAGTAAGCCCAGCCCCAGAGAGCAAAGGTTCCAGGGACCCTGGCTCCCCACATCCCACCCCTTAGTCCAGTACATAGCCCCGGCCTGCCTTGGTGTGGTGCAGGGCCTGGCCACCCTGAGGCCCCTCCTGCGCCACACAGAACTCGGCCTGCACCATGCGCTCAGTGGTCTCCGGAAAGTTCAGCAGCCTGCTGCAAGCCCTGGAGTTGCTTCGGATCTCAGCACTCAGAGACATTGAAACAGCTGAGACCCGGGTGCTGGCACCAGCCCTGGACAAGGAGCAGCAGTTGCAGGGCCACCTGGAGGCCCTGGCTCAATATGGCAAGAGGGTCCAGGAGCTCCTGGAGCAGGTGGATGACCAGACTTTCTTCCAGGTACCAGGCCTTGGGTGGTGGGCTGGGGCCTCGTTTCTATCCTCGTGCACCCGCTTAACGTCTCCATCCCTGGGGCTCAGGAATTGCAGCAGCTCTCTGAGCCCCCGGAACCCTTTGGGCCACTGACTCCTCTGCAATGGGACGAAGATCAACAGCTGGGCAACCTGAAGGACTTAGTGAGAGAGCTGTGTGGCCTCCTCCTGGAAGAGGCGTCCCCTCCCGAGGCACCAGCCAAGACTGCCAACACGAACCCCGTGGGTGAGGCTGACCTCAAGTCTTCCTTGTCCTTTTGGGCCTGGCTGGGGAAAAAATAGGATGGGACTCATTCCCACTCCCCTAACCCTGTCTTGTTCCCCAGAGGCCCCAGATCCCCTGGTACAGGTCCCAAGCGTGGTGTGTCCACTGCGGAGGAAACTCTGGCAGAGTAAGGAGGTCCAGTGCCTATGTGTACCTGTGCATGTGTGAGTACGTGTGTACACCTGCCTGTGTGTATACACGTGTACGCTGGGACAGGGAGTGCTGTGTCTGTGCTGTCCGTGGTTTCTGTTCCATGGCCCTTTCTGTACACACCTGTAGCAGGACATTCTGGTCCATGTCTGCCCCGAAGCAGCCAGCATAGAGTGTCAAACTGCAGGTTTGGGATTTTTTTGTGTGTGTGTGTCCATTTTTTGTCTTTTTTGAGACAGGGTCTCTCTGTGCAGTTCAGGCTGGCCTTGAGCTCACTTTGTAGCCCAGGCTGGCCTCAGTCTTGCAAAGATGTTCCTCCTTAGCCTCCCAACTGCTGGGATGACAGGCTTGTGCCACCACACCCAGTTTAAACTACAGGTTCAAAAGCTGGGCATGGTGGCACATACCTATCATCTTAGCACTCTGAGAGGCTGAGAGAAGGAGGACTGAAAGTTTGAATTCAGCCTGAGCAATCTACCAATGTAGTGTGACCCTGTGTTAAAAAACAAAACGGGGCTGGTGTATAGCTGAATGCAAAGGCCCTGTGGTCACTTTGCCAAAGGGGAAAAAAGAGATGACGTTAAGACATGTGACATCTAAGAAGAAGAAGAAAGACTACCTGAGAGCCATCAATATTTTTCCGTTGATTACCAAGTTCGTTTATCTCTCTGGGCCTCAGTTTTTGTCCTCTACACCAATGAGGATTCCACCCCAATGTCACAGTGAGGTTGGAACGTGTGCCCTGCTCACCCTCTATGCCTGGGCAGTGGACCTGTGGTTGCTCTCTCCCTTCTGTGGACGGGTTGCCTACTTCTGCCCATCTCTCCTCAATAGATTATCGAAATCTGACCTTTGATCCAGATAGCGCCAACCACCACTTCCACCTGTCCTGCCAGGGCCAGCGGGTGACGCACCGTCGCCAGTCTCAGGGCCCAGCCCAGCCGGGCAGCTTCAAGCTCTGGCAGGTGCAGTGTGCCCAGAGCTTCCAGAAGGGGCACCACTACTGGGAGGTGCACATCTCCAACCATTCAGTGACTCTGGGAGTCGCCTACCCAGACCTGCCTCGACAGAAGCTGGGCACCAACACGGACAACATTGGCCAAGAGTCCTGCTCCTGGGGCTTTTGCATCCAAGAGGACAGTGTCCTGGCCCGGCACAATGGGGACACCCAGCGCCTCCCCAGGGTGTCTGCACGGCTCCTGGGCATGGATTTGGACCTGGCCCGTGGCTGCCTCACCTTCTACAGCCTGGAGCCGCAGGTCCAGCTCCTGCACACCTTCCACGCCCTCTTCAGCCGGCCCCTCTACCCTGTCTTTTGGCTCCTGGAGGGCAGGACCCTCACCTTGTGCCATCAGCGTGGGGCCCAGCTCCCTCCAGCGCTGCAGGAAGAAGCCTCAGTGCCCAGCTGAGGAAGCTGTGGGGCAGCGCTTTGGGCTGACAGGCACATTATGCCCGTGTGCCCAAGAGCTGCCCAGCCTGGCCTGGGATATAGTGATTCAAAGAGAAATATTCTAATGACGGTCAGAGGACTCACGGTGTTCGAAGGAATGACTCCTGGCCTCTTTTCTTTGTTGCATGTGTTTTTCTTGTATGGTACCAGGGATTGAACCCTAGGCCTTTGGCCTTTGCAGTGACCTACAACCCCAGTCTTTTTTTTTTTTTTTTTTTTTTTTTTGAGACAGAGTCTTCCTAAGTGCTAAATTGTCCAGGTGAATTGTCCTGCCTCAGCCTCCTGGAGCGCTGGGATTACAGGTGTGTGCCACCAGTCTCAGCTGGCCTCTATGGTTTTTGTTTTTACACTGTAAACATGTACAGTTTATCTTCCATCAAATGTATCTCAATAAAACTGTAGAAAATGAAGTGAACTTAAATAAGGGGGAAGAAGTGATGGTCTCAGATCCAGCATGTGTTCTCTCCCACTCACCCAAATTCCTCGCTCGCCAGCCCTGGGTTCCTCCTCCTCTGGCTTCCTATCTAGCTCCCACAGACAGGCTGAAGGGCACCAGTCTGCAGGCATGGAGCAACCATGAGGGACATGTCCCAGGAGGCTGTGAGCTCAGGTGGACCTCAGAGGATCGCAGCAAATATAGAAAGGACAGGCAGGGTCTTGGTTGGGCAGACATTATGTCCTGGAGCGTGGGGTCAAGACTGGATGAGGCCTGGAACCACAGCTCATGGGTCCCCAGGTGGAGCATATTGTCAGCAGGTGGTCTTGCTGGTGCACAGTGACCTCCATTGACTCAGAGAGGGAGTGGGGATGACCCATACCTGTAATCCTGGCATTTGGGAAGCTGAAGCTGGAGGATCACTGAGCTCAAGGCCAACCTGGGCTGCATAATCCAGTTCAAATCCAGTCTGAACTACATAGTGAGACCTTGTCTCAAAAAAAAAAAAAAAAAAAAAAAAAAAACAACAGGGGCTGGGAGTTTAGCTCAGCAGCATAAGCATCTGCCTTGCAAGTGCGTGGTTAAGAGTTTGATCCCTGGTACTGATAAAAAAAAAAAATATTTACCACTATTGGACATTTAAGGTATTTTTGGGTAGCCATGCTCTGTGGGCATATCTGTAATCCTAGCATTCAGGTGGCTAGAGCAGGAGGAACTATCTAGCAAGACTCTGTCTCAAACCAATATATATATATGTATATATATAAAACATTGGCATGATGAGTATTTTGGAGCAGAAAGCCTTGGACATATTTATGGTTGTGTACTTTTTTTTTTTTTTTTTTTTTGATAAAGGGTCACACTTTGCAATTCAGGCTGGCCTTGAACTTGCTTATGTAGCCCAGGCTGGCCTAGAACTCACCATGATCCTCCTGCCTCAGCCTCCCGAATGCTAGGATTACAGGCATGTGCCACCACGCTCGGCTCTATGGTTATATACTTAACCTAAATTCCTAAAGTAGAATTATTTGTCAGGAAACAGTGAACATTTGAATTTTTTTAAATTTTCTTTTACTTGTTTCTGTAATACTAGGAGTTGCACCTGGGGCCTCCACACCAGGCTATATCTACAACCCTTTTTATTTGTTATTTCAAGACAGGGTTTCACTAAGTTTTCCTGGTAGGAATTGAATTTGTGGTGGATCCTCCCTGTCTCAGCCTTCCAGAGTGCTGAGAATATAGGCATGTACCATCCTACTGGCTGCTCCTACCGTTCTAAAAGCAGGTCACAGAGAGCAGTAGGAGTGGGAGCCCTGTGTCTCCCAGAAGCTCTTGCCCCATCTACACCACCCTCTCTGATGGATGCATCATCTCCGCTAGGCCAGTTGCACTGGTGTTAGAGTAAAAAGGGCACCAAGACAGTGACACAGGAACATGCTTGAGTCACCTGTGGGTATCACTGGCTTCTCCGCCCCATACACTGGCGCTCCTCCCTGCCTTCTGGACCTGGGGAATGGATATTTGAGACAGGAGGGAGAGAGGATTTAAACGAGAGGGCCCTGTGGGCCAGAGGGGTTGGAGGGAGCTGGACTAGAGGCCAGGCGGGCGAGGGCCAGGGAAGACAGGGGTTTGATCTTTTCCAGGCGGGAAAGGGGACAGAATGGTAATTGGGAAGTGTGCTGCGGTGACCTCAGACAGGCTGTTCAGAGACCTGAAGCCAGCACTTTCGATTCTCAGGGTCCCTAAACCAGGAATGGAGCCTGAACAGAGACCCTGGCAGATGCTCAGCAGCCTACTTTGGGAAGCGCCAGTGTACTGACTTTCCAGGCCCAAAGCCAGCAGGCATGCTGGCACAGGCCTGGATTTCCAGCATTCTGGGAAGCTGAAGCAGGAGGGTTCCAAGTCGAGCCCAGCCTGAGCCACCCAGTGCAAATGCCCTGGATTTGATCCCTGGTACTAGGGGAAAAAAATAAGTACAGAGGGGCTTGGGATTTAGCTCAGTGGCATAAGCACCTGCCTTGCAAGCAGGTGGTCGTGAGTTCAATCCCTGGTACCAATAAAAATGAAAAAGACAAAAAAAAAAAAAAAAAAAAAAAAAAGTACAAGGAAAGGAAGGCCTGAGACTCAGGACAGGAGGAACTGATCGCCAGAGGGAAATGATGAAACCCTGGAACAGGAGCACAAATGTCTATGAAACTGCTCAAGGGGGGACTGGGGATTTAGCTCAGCGGCATAAGTGCCTGCCTAGCAAGCAGGCAGTAGTGAGTTCGATCCCCGGTACCGATAAAAAGGAAAAAGATAAAAAAAAAAAAAATTAAAAAAAAAGAAACTGCTCAAGGCTCCTAGGCATGTGATTCAGCGATGTCATAAAAACCCTTAAGAGCCAAAGCAGGTCACCACTGCAGAGCAGAAGCCTGAAGCACATGGGTCTGCTGTCTCCTATTTTTTGTCATACTCCTGGAATTGTTTACTCCTTAACCTAATGTATTAATTTGATATAAATACAAACTCCCCGCCCCCTTTTTTTCAGTATCAAGGATGAAATCCAGGGCTTTCACACTGAGCTACATCTCCACATTTTGTTATTTGTTTTGTTTTGCTGTTTGTTTTGAGTCAGGATTTCACTAAGATGCTAAACTGCCCAGGCTGGGCTGGGCTTGCTGTCCTCCTGCCTCAGCCTCTTGAGTGATGGGATTACAAGGGCTCACCACCACACCACACCACACCACACCAGGATTGGCTTGGTTTTGTTTCTTTTTGACACAACTATGAACAGGTTCTGGCAAAGCTCAGAAGTTGCCTTTGTCCCTAGGAACTGCTGCATTTCAGAAAGACTGCAGACTCCAGGTAGCAGCTGTGAGACTGTGGTTATGGGAGTGAACTATTATTAAGACGCCAGCGTCCTTCAGGGCATGGAGCTTCACATCGGCAGAGCTACTTGGGAGACAGAGGCAAGAGGGTCACTTGAGGCCCTGAGTTTGAGACTGGTGTGGCCCATATGGAGAGACCTCAAGGAAAGAAGGAAGGAAGGAAGGAAGGAAGGAAGGAAGGAAGGAAGGAAGGAAGGAAGGCTGGGCTGCGGGTTCAAGGCCCATCTGAACACATAGCCAAGAATCTGGCTCAAAACACCAGAAAGAAGCCAAATGTGGTGGTGCATGCCTGTAATTCCAGCTCTCTTAGAGGCTGAGGCAAGAGGATCAAAGTGCGTTCAAGGCCGAGGATTTAGCTCAGTGGCATAAAAGTGCCTGCCTTGCGGGCGTGCCATCGTGAGTTCGATCCCCAGTACCAAAAGCAAAAACACAAAGTGAGTTCAAGGCCAGCCTGGGCTGCATAAGCAAGTTCAAAGCCAATCTGTTCTACACACTGAGACCCTGTCTCAAAAACACCAAAAAGAAAAGAAAAACCAAAATGAAGGGGAAAAAAAGAAGGGGTGGGAGATGAGGGGTGGGGAGGCACCACCACCCTGACAGCATATTCCCATGCTTTCCCCTTGGGGGAGCAAATCTTTCTGAGTGGAGCATTGGCAGAACAGGTCTCTAGGTACCCCTCAGTTTGAGAGCACCCCCTTCAGAGCCAGGCAGATCTATGGTGTCAGCAAACCCAAGTGCCCGGCTGCCAAATCAGAGTGGGGTGGAGTTGGGCCCCTGGTCTCCCACTGGACCCTTCTTGGGTCAGGCGTGCCCAAGGCTCCCCGGGAAACCGGTGCCTAGAACTCATCTGCCCTCCTGCCAAGCTGGGTGCGCTCAGGCCGCTCCCTCTGCTGCTCCTTTGGTCCCCTCTCAGCCACCCAAGCCCTAGCAGCCTGCCTGTGACAGCCCAGCGCAAATGTCCCTGGTGTAATCCCCAACCTTTCAGTTCCACGTTGTAGCATTTACCGTGTCTGCTTTACATAATCCCCAGCCTCCTCCGTAATTCCCATACAGGGATTGGACCTCTCTTTTGGCACTTTTTTCCTGAGGGAGAGGTGAGTGAGTCCTCACAGAACTCATGTTAACTCTATCTTTCCTTTTTTCTTTTTACATTTTTTTCTTTCTTCCTTCCTTCCTTTCTTTCTTTCTTTCTTTTTTTTTTTTTTTTTTTTTTTTGTACCAGGGATCAAACTCATGACCTCGAGCTTGCCAGACAGGCACTTGTGCCCTGAGCTAAATCCCCAGCCCTAATTTTTTAAAAATTTCTGAGACAGGGTCTCACTATGTATTCCAGGCTGGCTTTGAGCTCACTATGTAGCCCAGGCTGGCCTCCAACTCACAGAGATTCTCCTGCCTCAGCCTCCCAGTGTTGGATAACAGGTATGCACCACCACACCCAGCTTTTTCCTCTTTTGGCAGTATTGGAGATTGAACCCAGTCCCTTTGCACTGAGCTACATTCCCAGCCCTTTATTTTTTATTTTAAGAGAGTCTCACTGAGTCTCTAAATTGCCCAGGCTGGGCTCAAACTCTCAGTCCTCCTGCCTCAGTCTTGGGACTTTTGTCAAAATCTTACCCCACAAGGGTTAAGGGAATGGGGCTTTCAGAGATGACAAGATCATGAGAGTGGAGCCCTCATCGATGAGACTGGTAACTTATATGGGGACCCCAGACAGCTCACCAGCCCTCTTTCTACCACATGAAAACACAAGGTGAGGTGAGCCATTTGCCCAGCAAGGGGCCCTCGCCAACACAGGCCGAGCCACTAATCTCAGCTCCCACCCTCCAAAAGGAGATATCACCCAGCCTCTGCTCTGGGTCACAGTGGCGGAGACTGCAGCAAGGGTTATTCTCTGCAGGCCAAGCTCCCCAGGACACTGGTGCCTGTGTCACTCCCACAGAAGAGCTCCACCCCCATCACCCACAAAGCCTCATATGGATGGATGGACAGATGGACAGATGGATGGACAGCTGAGCTCAGGGGAGAGGCAGCAAGAAACACAGGCTGGGGCCTGGGAAGGGTTTGAAGGGCAGAGCCCGATGTGTGCACAGGAAGTAGGGCTGGGGAAAATCCCCTGCCTTCCTGTGGACAGGGGAGTAAGAGATTCCTCCGAGAGGGGAAACTGACAAGGGCCAGGCTTTAGCCAACATCCTCAGCTGAGGGACGCAGTCCCTTAGGAATGCTGGATAATACCAAGTGACAGTTTTGATTGTCACAACTGAGTGGCACTCCTAGCACCAAATGGGTGGGCCCATGGGTGACACTCACCATCCAACATCCCCCAATCCAGCTGCCCAACAAAGGGAACCTGAAAACCATTGGATTGTACACTTTATTTTTTTTTTGTCTTTTTCTTTTTTATTGGTACCGGGGATCGAACTCACGACCACCTGCTTGCAAGGCAGGTGCTTATGCCACCGAGCTAAATCCCCAGCCCCAATTGTACGCTTTATTTATTCATTAACAGATTTATTTGCAGCACTGAAAACGGAGGCCAGGGGTATTCTACTACTAGCTACATTCAAGCTTTTATATTCTGAGACAGTCTTGCTAAGTTGCCCATCCTGCACTCAAACTTGTAACCCTCTTGTCTCACCCCCTCAGAGTGCTGGGATCATAGCCACGGAGGCCTGCACCTGACTGGATAGAATACTTTAAATGCTCAAATTGTATGGTAGTGAATTAATATTCATAAAGCTGCTTTAAAAAAAAAAAAACTTTCCAGCAGGGCATGGTGGTGCATACCTGTAATCCCTGTATTTGGGAGGCTGAGGCAGGAGGATCACTGCAAGTTCGAGACCAGCCTGCGCTACTAAGTGATCTCAAGGTTAGCCTGAACTGCATAGTGAGACTCTGTCTCAAAATTAAATAAATTAATTAATTAACTTTTAAAAAGCCTTCCAGGCTGAGGATACAACTCAGTAGTAGAGCACTTGCCTAACAGGTATGAGGCCCTGGGCCAGGAGTTCTATCGGCCATAGCGGTTTGCAACTGTAATCTCAGCACCTCAAGAGGCTGAGGCAGAAATATCATTGCAAGTTCAAGGCCAGCCTGCACCACATAGTGAGACCCTATCTCAAAAAAAAAAAAATGGCTAGAGATTGTGGCTCAGGGCAATGGCCCTGCCTTGTACCCCTGGTACCCTACATGTGCTCACACATACATTTGCACACACAAGCGAGGAAGTTTGGGCTACGAGTGCGACTCAGTAGCAGTTCATGTGCTTAGCTTTTGCAAGGCCCTGTATTCTATTCCCAACACACACCAAAAAAAGTCTGACACAGAGCAGAGGGCATGTGACAACAGAGACAGATACTGGAGTAGTGTATATACACCCCAAGGAATACCAGGATTTGCCAGCCAACAGCAGAAGCTGGGGGGCAGGCCTGGGACAGATTCCCCCTCATCTCTTCCCGCAGGACACACCTCTACGGACACCTCGATTTCAGTTCTGGATTCCTGTACCATGAGAATATGATCCTCACTTATTTTTGCAGCACTGAGAATGGAACACAGGGCCTTGCACAGCCCGGACAGTGATCTACTGCTGGGCCACATTCCCGGTCTGGACCTTTGTTCCTTCTATACCACCCAGGTTTTACTACTCTTAAAGCACCTGGTTTGTGTCAGGCACTAATTAAGGTCCCCTTCCTGTGGCAGATCCTGATGTGAACAGACCCTGAGGTCTCCTGGAGAGGTCCTCCTGCCCAGCACCTCCCACCCTCCCACCTATCCCTTCCCACCCCAGGGTCTCACCTGTCGCTGAGAGGCGAGCCCTGGAGGACCTGGGCACCTCCTCTCTGTGTTGTCCCCGTCCCCGTACCTCGTCCTGAGGAGGCCCTGCCATCGTCTCCATCCCCACAATCTCCATCAATCTGCACCTCCCAGAGGGCAGAGAGCCAAGTGACAGGTGCTGACTGCTAATGCAGATGCCCTGGGGTTAAGCGATGACCGAGATGGACTCTGTAGCCCTCCAGCAGTTCCCATGCCAGTGCACAGAGACGACAGGACAGCGTGAAGCTCCTGCTCAGCCTACCCAGGATGTCTCCAAAGGGGTTACCACCGCCCATCTGGAGAGAGGCGGGTAAGTCACATGGCTTCTCTGGCCTCCATAGCTGCCTCAAAACAGCCTGAGTTTCTAGAGATGGGTCACCTCAGGGTATGGCACCTGGGAGGCATTTATTAGATCTGAGTGTTCTTTCTTTCTTTCCAGGGAAGCTGTCAGGGGCTTGGCACAGTATCCTTACAAAGTATACATTTTTTTTTTCCAAGAAGGGTTCCACTATGTTACCTGGGCTGGCCTTGACTCTCTGGGTTCAAGGGATCCTCGTTACACAGCCTCCAGAATAGTGGAGACTATGGGCACATGCCCAGTGATCCTCCTGCCTCAGCCTTCTGAGTGCTGAGATTACAGATGTGCACCATTATAACTGGCTCAAAAAACTTTATAGTAGCTTTAAAGTTACAGAAAAGCTATGTCAAGAATACCAAGTCCCTATATATCCTACACCTGATTCTCTCTTTAGTTAACATCTTAGATTCTATGGTAATTAGTGAAAAAAATGAAAGAATGAACCCAGACTTGGTGGCATGGGCTTGTAATTACTGCACTCTGGGAGGCCAAGGCAGGAGACACAAATTTGGGCCCAGCGTGGCCAACCTGAAGATTCAGTGAAATCCTGTCTCAAAATAATTTTCGTAGTGTATATTGGCACATTCCTATAATCTCAGCACTTCGGAGGCCAAGGCAAGGAGCACTGCTGCAAATTCAAGTCTACATAGCAAATGCAGTCTCAAAAAAAATTTTTTTTTAAAGGTTAAATCCCCAGAATCACAAAAAAGGGGGGGGAGGGGTAGGCGGCTTTGAGGAGGTACTCATCAGGTATTTTGGAGACACAGGATTGATCTGATGTTTTTCTCATCAGGCAGGAGTTGTACGTTTGAGGGAGGAAGACATCACATGAGAGGCCGAGCTATTGCTGTGATTTATCACTGTCGATGCTGACCTTGACCACCCTGGGTAGTGTTGTTAGTCCTGCTCCTCTGTTAAGCGGTTCTTGTATTTCCTTCCCGTCCCAGTGCACAGATGCCGCATGAGGAGTGGAAATTAGCTCCAACTTGGAGAACCTACAATGGGAAATGTGTCTGTTCTACCCTCACTGGTTCATTTATTCAGTTACTTATTACTACCACCATGGACTCACAGTTACAAACCAGTAGTTCTCTCTCTCTCTCTGGTAGTATTAAGGATTAAACTCAGTCTTTTAAACAATCTCGGTCTTTTTTTTTCATCTTACATTTTGAGCCAGGGTCTTGCAAAGTGGCCCTGGCTGGGCTGGAATTTTTGAGACCCCTACTCAGTCTCCCGGAGTGCTGAGATTACAAGCACCATGCTTGGCTCCCAGCCCTTTTTTACTGAGACAAAGGCGCTCTCTAAATTAGGCTGGCCTTGAAATTTCCATCTTTCTGCCTCAGTCTCCCAAATTGCTGGGATGATGGCCACACACCCCAGGAATTCAACCTTGCTGAGTATAACTTGCAATAAGACATACTATAGCCAGGAGTGATGGTGCATGCTGTAATCCCAGCCCTCAGGAGGCCGAGGCAGGAATATCACTGCAAGTTCGAGGCCAGCCTGGGCTACATAATGAACTGAAGGCAAAAAAGACATACCGTTTAGTGTATGCACTTAGGCAAGTCTTAACCACTGCCTCTTCTTGGGGAGCCCCAGTGTTTGTCTAGGTGCACCACAGGTGCGGGGGAGTGTTCGAGGACCGGAACTGCATTCCTCGGATCTGGCACTCGGAGCATGACATAACTTCCCATTTCAGGTCTAGAAAAGCCCAAGTTCCCCGCCAGGGCTAAATAGAGTCGCTAAGGGGCAAAAACAGACACACATCAGCAATTATTTCCTCTGAGTAAGCGGCTCAGGAACTTTGCTAACTGTGCCAGTGAGGGGTCTGGAGTGCAAGGTGCCGCCTGTAGTGACACAGTCGCCCGCCAGCCCTCCGGAGCCCAGGCCATGCCAGGAGTGGGGGTTGGAGGGTGAACTCCCTCCCAGCCTCCCGCCTGGGCGCCCCTGGCTTTCTTGCCCTGGCCTCCTTCTTTGCACACTGGCAGCGCGGACTGAGGCACCCAGGATCCCCTCGGAGTTGCGCAGGGCTGCTACGCTGGGGGCGGGCCGCGCCGAGGCCGGAGGCGGAGGGGGTCGGACCCTTGGCTTCAGCCCCAGGGGGCGGTGCAGGGCGCGAGCGGTCTGGGTCCCTCCCAGGCGCACGCAGAACAGGCGACGCCCGGGGCCGCGGAGTCATGGACGGCAGCGGGCCCTTCGGCTGCCCCATCTGCCTGGAGCCGCTCCGGGAGCCGGTGACGCTGCCCTGCGGCCACAACTTCTGCCTCGCCTGCCTGGGCGCGCTCTGGCCGCACCGCAGCGCGGGAGGCGCGGGTGGCTCCGGAGGGGCAGCCCGCTGCCCGCTGTGCCAGGAGCCCTTCCCCGACGGCCTGCAGCTCCGCAAGAACCACACGCTGTCCGAGTTGCTGCAGCTCCGCCACGGATCCGGACCCGGGCCTATGCCCACCCCGGCTCCCACCCCGGCCCGGTGCCCAACGCCGGAGCCCTCGGCGCCCAGCGCGCCGCCCAGCGCCACGGAGCCGTCGGCCCCCAGCGCGCCCCCGTCCTGGGCGCCAGCAGAGGAGCCCGTGCACTGCGACGCGTGCCCGGAGGGCGCGGCCCTGCCCGCCGCGCTCTCCTGCCTCACCTGCCTCGCGTCCTTCTGCCCCGCGCACCTGGGCCCGCATGAGCGCAGTCCCGCGCTGCGCGGGCACCGCCTGGTGCCGCCGCTGCGCAGGCTGGAGGAGAGCCTGTGCCCGCGTCACCTGCGGCCTCTGGAGCGCTACTGTCGCGCCGAACGCTTGTGCCTGTGTGAGGCCTGCGCTGCCCAGGAACACCGCGGCCACGAGCTCGTGTCGCTGGAGCAGGAGCGCGCGCTTCAGGAGGTGGGGAGCGGGATCCTGGGAGGCCGGGTAGCCCCTGCCCTTCTGGGCTCGGGTCTTAATTTTCTCCTCTCCCTGAGGAGCTTTGCAGTCCTTCCAGTGTCATCTCCTCTTGGAGGTGGAGATGGAAAGAGTGGGAAGGAGGGACCAGTGACAAGCCCTAAAGGACAGGAAGGGCAGGCAGGGGACACCGGGGGTCTTTGGGGTGCAAGGCAGGCGGAAGCTGTTTTAGGTCCTCCAGCCTGGCTGTGTGGGCTGGAATCTGCTGCATCCCAAAACCTAGCTGATGTGATGGGCGCAGTTCTGATTTGCCCTGGGTGGAGGCAGCCGTTTTGGATGGGTGTGGCCCATGACAGGAGTGCCACCGGCAGTGGGGCTGGGCACATAGATCCTCAGTGTTCTGCCTTCTGGGCTGTGGTGGGAACATGTGCGCGGTCCACTACCTCCTCCCCCAGTTTCCTTTGGCCTGCAGCCTAGTGTTGGCGCCTCTGGCCTTGGGATTTTCCGTCTCTCCTGCCTGGAGCAGTGACTCATAACACCCAGGGGATTTGCCCGGAATCCCCTTTTTTCAGGCTTGGACTGGGGACACAGAATTTTTGGGAACAGCGATCCCTTCCTGTGCTTTTCACCTTCATAACCTCTTACTCTCTCTTACTCCACTGGAGGAAATTCTCAAAGAAATCTGAGCAAAATTGGGATCCACAGATGGCCCCCTGGGGCCGGGCTGGTGGAGGGGAGGCAGGTGAACACAATTAGCCTGGCCTCTCACCAGGAATTCATCCAGGAATGGCACAGCCCGGGCAGCCCGGGCTCTAGACACCTCAGGCATGATATAGGACATCATGGCCACACTGACCCCTTGGTCATCCCTCCATTCTCCCCGGCAAGTCCCAGGACCCTGGCACAGGGCTGGGGCGTCTGCCAGCCGCCACACTCAGGGAGGATGTTGCCCGCAGGCTGAACAGCCCAAAGTCCTGAGCGCTGTGGAGGACCGCATGGATGAGCTGGCTGCTGGCATCGCACAGTCCCGACGCACGGTGGCCCTCATCAAGGTCAGACGCTCCCCCAACTGCCGGTGCATCTCTTCAGGGGCCTGGCAGTGTGAGCTCAGCAGAATGCGGTACTCACTGAGCACTAGCATCTCCCTGGTCTGCCAGATCCAGGACGGGCTCGGCTTGGCCCCTCTGTCCCCTGAAGAGGACACCTGGATGCCTGGCCTCTGAGAAGAATGGGGCCAAAGGCCAGGCTTGTTCTTTACCCCACATTGGTGCCTCCATTACACCTGTGCAGAGTGCAGCTGTGGCAGAGAGGGAGCGAGTAAGCCAGCTGTTTGCTGAGGCTGTGGCCACCCTGCAGAGCTTCCAGAAGGAGGTGCTGGGCTTCATTGAGGAGGGTGAGGTCCTCATGCTGGGTCGCTCCCAGGGAGACCTTCGGCGACAAGAGGAACAGCGCAGCCGCTTGAGCAGGGCCCGCCAGAGCCTCAGTCAGGTCCCTGAGGCGGACTCCGTCAGCTTCCTGCAGGTGAGAGCAACATGTGGGCCACGGAGGGAGCAGAAGGGGAGAGGATGAAGGGAGGCGGTGATGCCCAGCCTGCTGGGGTTGTCTGCCATCCTGGTGGTGCTGTCCCTTCCAGCCAGGAAGAGCTGTGGCAAGCAGAGCTTTAATGGGTACTTGTCTGGTACAGGAGTTTCTGGCACTACGGCTGGCCCTGGAGGAGGGGTGCGGCCCTGGGCCCAGCCCCCCAAGGGAGCTCAGCTTCACCAAGTCATCCCAAGCTGTCCGGGCAGTGAGAGACGTGCTGGCCTCAGCCTGTGCCAGCCAGTGGGAGCAGCTGCGGGAACAGGGTGGTGACCAGGATGGACTGCAAAAGCTGGGCTCAGAAGGTACCTGCTCCCCAGATGACTCACTCATCCTCCTCCAGGCTCCCCACACAGGCCCCCGGGCCTGGCGTCCATCCAGGGGTAAAAAAAAGAAACTGCTTGGCACCACCCTGTGATGAACAGACTGCTCTTTAGCCACAGCCAGGAGGGCAGAGGAGACTCTTCCTAGCCCACTGTCCTGCTTTACAGGGGCCGAAGTCCAGTGGGCAAGGGGGGAAAGCCACGGAACTCAGGCAGCAGCATGCATGGGAACACAGGGTGCTATACTTGGGTGTGTGCCTGTTTCCAGGTAACTCTGGGATTTGGAGGAAAGAGAGGGGCAAGAATTGCAGTCACAGGTTTAGGAGCAGGCATGGTGCCCAGCAGCCTGGCCATGGGCAGTCTAGGGAGATATTTTCCCACCATGTCCCTCTGCAGCTGATGCCGAGTCTCAGGACCCCGATAGCACCAACCTCCTGCAGAGTGACGCACCCAGGGACTATTTCCTCAAGTGTAAGTGCATATGGAGAGCCCTCCTGCACCCATGGAGGCTGCTCAGGCTCAGGCTGCTCAAAGGTGCTAGAGGGATCCTGGGGTGGCAGAGTCATTGCAGGGGTGGTCTCCAGTTGAGGTGTGCTGTTGCAAAGGAGGGGCCCCGTTTGGGGGAGGTGAGCACCTTTGGGGGACTGTTCCATCTGAGCTGGTTCTGAGCTCGCGTCTCTCCTTCCATTTGTGTGGTCAGTTGCCTATATCGTGGACTTGGACAGTGATACAGCAGACAAGTTCTTGCAGCTGTTTGGAACCAAAGGTGTCAAAAGGGTACTGTGTCCCATCAACTACCCCGAGTCACCTACCCGCTTCACCCATTGCGAGCAGGTGCTGGGTGAAGGCGCCATGGACAGAGGCACCTATTACTGGGAGGTAGAGATCATCGAGGGCTGGGTCAGCATGGGGGTCATGGCCGAAGGCTTCTCCCCACAAGAGCCCTATGACCGGGGCCGGCTGGGTCGCAACGCGCATTCCTGCTGCCTGCAGTGGAATGGACGCAACTTCTCTGTCTGGTTCCACGGGCTGGAAGCGGCCCTGCCCCACAACTTCTCGCCCACAGTTGGGATCTGCCTGGAGTACGCCGACCGTGCCCTGGCCTTCTATACTGTGCACGATGGCAAGATGAGCCTCCTGCGGCGGCTGAAGGCATCTCGGCCACGCCGGAGCGGCGCCTTGGCCTCCCCCACTGACCCCTTCCAGAGCCGCCTGGACAGCCACTTTGCAGGGCTGTTCACCCACAGGCTCAAGCCTGCCTTCTTCCTGGAGAGTGTGGATGCCCATGTACAGATTGGACCTCTCAAGAAGTCCTGTATAACTGTGCTGAAGAGGAGGTGATGCAGGCCGGCCACCTCCTGCAGCCACCCTGGTGTGCGTAGGCTTGCGTCTGGGTTCCATCTTGTCCCCAAGGAAGGCATCAGCCTTAGAGTCCACACAAAAGGCCTCCACCTGGCTCTCAGGGAGGAGGCCCCCCCACCAAACCTTGTTTTGGGGAGAGTGAATTTAAGCTGGGACAGATCCAACCCTCTCCTTTTCTAGGTTTCTAGAACAATGCCTGGCACACAATAGGTGCGCAATAAACATTTGTTGAGTGAAGGATCCCTTTTTCACCCCTTTCCCTAGCCACCAAGAATTCAGACTCCTTAACTTTCTTTTTTCCTTTTTTTCTGAACTCAAGGCCTTTGCACTGAGCTACATTTTTAGTGCTTTTATTTTGGGACAAGGTCTTGCTAAGTTGCTCGGGTTGGGTTTGAATTTGAGAGCTCAGCCCCCCAGAGCACTGGGATTGTAGACATGGGCCACGTTGCCCAGCTTCTCAGCTTTGCAGGGCTGGCAGGTGGGAAAAGTCTCTCACCTAGGAGAAGGGGACTGAAACAGGGTGCCTCAAGGGACTTCCGCTCCCTGATTCTCGGCAGGGTAGACAGAAGTGGGTTCTCCCATAGGGTCCAGCCACAGGGCCCTGGTGTTGTCCTGGTTGCCCCAGTGTTTGCTTTGAATGGCCTGGCTCCCGCTGCTGTTTTCATGCCTGAGCCCACAGCCAGTTCTGGGCCCGCCTTTTGCTGGCTGTGCCCAGAATTAAACATAGACTTCAAGCCCCAAGAGCAGGGCAGGACCCCTGGGTGTGGCCAAGGAAGCTGGAGACCTGGGCTTCCTTCGCATACGCCATCTCAGCCTATGGAGAGACACAGCCAAGACCATCCCAGGGTGTGGCTGGAGCCCAGCACAGTGTCCTCAGTCCGCCAGCTGTGTGCCTCCACAGTGCTGGTTCTCCAGCTGGGCTCCCGGGACCCTGTGCTGCAGGAGAGCCTCTGGCTGGCTTTCAAGAGTTGCCCTCTCAGCCTGGGTTACAAATGAACTCAAGACCAGGCTGAACTGCGGAGCAAGACCCTGTCTCAAAGAGAGAAAAAAAGTTGCCCTTTGCTGCCCCCAATTCTCCTGCCCAGCCTGCATTGCCCCTGAGTCCAGCCGAGCTGCCTGCTTGGGTTCTCCATGGTCCAGATGTACCCTGAGTAGATCCAGAGGGCAAGCAGCAGAGAGGCTTCCTAGCCGCCAGCCAAGGTCAGAGGGGACAATGGGTGAGTTATGCAGCCAGACAGCAAGGCCATACAAGTCCTGCCCCAGCCGCCTCCCTCAGCAGCTAAAAATATCCCCTCCCGCAGAGCAGGCCTGGGCCCTAGCAGCCAGGATGTTGTTTTTCCAGGTGGGGCCTCCCTGATCCTGGGGCTTTGTGTTCTGAACCCGTTCCTGTGGCAGCCACAGGTCCCAAGGTTCAGGTCACTCTCCAAGGCAGTAAGTGGGAAGCTGCTCCACCAGCGGGGGCCAAGAGGGCTTCCTAGACCCCTTCCCCACCAGCTGCCACCTCCCACCATCCAGCCCAGCCCTAGGCCACCCGCCCTGTCCCATCTCCCCCACCTTGGCACCCCACATGCTGCCCTTTTGGAGCCCTCTGCTCCCTGACCTGAAGGAAGTTCTGACATGTCAGGACACAGGAGCTTGACAGCCAAGGGCCTGCCTAGCTGATCACATTAATGGCCACAGCCTCACAGGGTGCCACTTACAGAGTGACTTCTAGCTCAAGACTGTCTGGCATGGGACTGTGAAAACCAGTGTCTCTGTTTGTTTGTTTGTTTTGATACAGGGTCTCCCCAGTCCAGGCTGGTCTCGAATTCAGCAGTCCTCCTGCCTCAGCCTCCCAAGTGTTGAAATTTAGGCATACGCCACCATACGTGGTTCCTTCAACATTTTCATCAGAGAATATGTTGTGTTTCTTTCAAGATTGCTTGAAAAAGAAAGATGGTTTAAAAAAAAAATGTTAGAGAACCATAGATCTAGTTGGGATGTTGCCATTAATAGGTAGAAAAGCTTAGGCCAAGAGGTGGGAAGGAGCCCACTGAGCTGCCCAACCCAAGATGCCATGGCAGAGGTGTGCTCTGCACTTGGAGACGTCTAAACACACATGTGCTCACAGCCCTGCTTCCCAGCCTCCCAACCTGTGTGAGACCTGTTCTCAGCCAGCCTCAGTTCCCACGCTGCAAGCCTGGCAGGGCTGCCCGAGGGTCTGCGGACTCAGACACTCCCACTGCCAGAGCCCCCAGCAGTCCCAGACAACTGCAGCTGAGGGGTGGAGGCTGGGGTTATGGTGCTGCAAGCTGAATACAGTTCCTTGGGGCCAGGCTCGGAGCCAGCCTCCACTTGAGCTCTGTGTCTGTGGGAAAACAAGCTGCAGAGCTCTCAACAACTGGCTGAGAAATGGCCTCAGCACTGTTCCCCTGTAGGCAGCCACAGAGGTCCTGCAGCCTTCACTGCCCAGGGCCTCCCCAAGCTCTAGGAGGCAAGAGGCCCATTGTCCTCTCCTGGCCCTCCTCTGTGCCTTCCCAAGTCCCAAGGAACACTCCTCTCCTCCCAGGCAGAGAGGGTGAGGCTGACCTGAGGCTGGACCAAGATCATTTGAAGTTGTCTCTATTGGGCTCAAGCTTGTTTTTTGTCCCAGGCAAGGAAAGAGCATCGCACTGCAAGGTCAGTGTCCCGTTCAGCCCCACACCCAGCACGTACTGCCCGTATTCATGGTCTGGAACACAAGACTGGGCCCTTTCTGAGCCAGGCAGCAGGGCTGGGGCCATGCTGGGGGTACAGTGCTTGTCAAGCCTGTAAGAAGTTCAGTGTCTTTACCAAAAGTCCTTTAGAAAAGGGACAACAGACGGAGCTCATGCCACCGACACAGGCTCAGCAGTAGACAGAGCTAGGCCAGGAGCAGGCAGGCAATAGTCTTTGGCAATTTGTGTACCTTAAATAACATTAAAAATCTGAATTTTACTTCATAATATCTCTGATTCGCTTTAATATAAAAACAATGGTTTCTTGTTTTTTGGAGAATGGTTTTTTGTTTTTTGTTTTGTTCAGACAAGGTCTTCCTACATAATTCAGGCTGGCCTTGAAATCACTATGCAGCCTGGGCTGGCCTCAAACTAAGCGATCCTCCTGCCTTAGCCTCCTGTGTTCTGGGATATAGGCATGTGCACAGTGCCTGGCTTGGAGAACTGTTTTATCCACAAATTCTGTGTAGCTCAGTCGTAGAGTGTGTGCATAGTATACACTCAACCCTGGGTTTAATTCCTACCACTAAAAAAAACCAAAACAAAACAGGGGGCTGGGATTTAGCTCAGCGGCATAAGCACCTGCTTTGCAAGCCCATGATCATGAGTTCCATCCCTGGTACTGATAAAAAAAAAAAATGGTGGAATCAAGAAATTCTTAAGTAAGAATTCTACCTGAGCCACTTTCTTCTTCTTCTTCTTCTTTTTTTTTTTTTTTTTTGTCTTTTTCCTTTTTATCGGTACCAGGGATTAAACTCACAACTGCCTGCTTGCAAGACAGGCGCTTATGCCGCTAAGCTAAAATCCCCAACCCCAAGAGCTGCTTTCTAACTGTGCCTTTGAGCAACCAACTCAAAGCGTCTCTGTACCTCACCCTTGGAGGATCTCTCCCCAGCTTCATCCTGTAAGGAGTCCCTCAGCCCTGGCTCCACAGTGTTGGGCTGGCCCATCATCAGGGTGACCCCACCTCTCTCTGGCTTGGGAGGCAGGGATGTGGGAACAGACAACAGGCTTTGTGTAAACATTTCTGCAGCAGGAGTCACTCAAAACAGACCTCACAGCTCCGTCTGGGGCAGTCAAACTTGGTGGAGCCTGGAGGTCTGGGCTGGGAACCTCAGGGTGGGGCTCATCTCCATGGCAACCAAAAACAGCCACAGTGGTGCCTTGGCCCTGTCTCCTGCTAAAGGAACAGGGAATTTGTGTGCTCAATACCCACGGCCAAAAAAGGGCCTGCCCTGAAATAGCTCACATCCATATCACCAGCACTTCACATGTTATCTGCAACCCAGCCCTAACTCAACCAACAGCACATGGCAGAAAGTCAAGGAGTACCAAGTCCTTTCTTTCTCTCAGCTTATTTAGAAGATGACAATTAGCCAGGCCTGGTGGCACATGCCTGAAGCAGGAGGATTGCTGTGGCTTTGAGACCAGCCTGAGCTACAAAGTGAATTTAAGACCAGCCGGAACTCCATAGTAAGACCTTGTCTCCAAAAGACCAGGACCAAAAAAAAGACAATTGGCTAAGTGAAAAAAATTCAGCATATCGAGCACGTATCTGTTACGTATACTCAGGTACAGGAAATATCTGGTTTAGTATTTTTCCAAAGTTAAATAAATAAAATTCAACCTCAGGCGTGTTGTGGTGGGGGGTCCTCCTTTTTAGTAGGATAGTGCTCTGAGGTTTACATGGTGCCTGGAGGATGGCAGAACTTCTGATTTTTTTGTCCCCCAGGGCCACTGCTGAGGTGCCCCACTGTAGGAGCTCAATCACAGCTTACCTCAGTCAAGGCCACACTCTCCTGGGCCAAGCAAGCTTTCAGGGTAGTACCAAGCTAGTCTTTCAGCTCCAGACCCACAGCAGTAGTTTTTCTTAGAGCCTTGTAGCAAAACATCCAGCAGCAGATGCTTAAACAATCCAAACATGTTGTCTCCCAGTGTTGGAGGCCAGGCGTCCAAAACCAAGGTGTCACCAGGATTCTCTCTGGAGGCTGTGGGAAAGAAACTATCCCCGTACCATCCCCAACAGCTGGCAACTCGCAGCCCTTGGCTTGCAGCTTTTGCTGTGTTCTTGGGAGGGTTCCCTGTGTGCCTGAGTCCGGGTTTTATAAGGACCCCAGTCATACTGAACACAGAATTAGGGCCCACTCTAACCTAAAGGCCCCATCTTAACTTTGTCTTTAATAGCCCTACTTCCAAATAAGGTCACATTGTGAGGTACCCGGGGTTAGGACTTCCACATATGAATTTGGGGGAGAGGACACCGCTCAGGCCTCACCACCCTCCCACTACATCTATGCTTGCCCCTTGTCCACCATGCATTGCTTCCTGCCATGCTCTGCCTATAGGGCTGCTAGTAAAGCCTGCCAAGCAGGGCCAAGAGCTATGGCTTAGGTCGTCCTGCTGCCCCACCTGAGCTTCCCCAGACACTGTGGTACCAGCCGCATCCAGTTTCTGCTTCTCAGCAGAACCCACAAAGACCCCAGCATAGGCTGGGGTTACCCGCGTGTGCCACCTCCCCTGGCTGCCATGTAAACACTTGCTTGCTCACCCTTTCAGTTACCTAGTTATCTTACAGCAGTATGTCCAACCATGTATTTAGTCGATTCTGCATCATAAGCTCTCTCTGCTCAAAGAGCTCATATGGTTTCTGTCTCCTAACCAAATCCTTTAGCACACCCCAAACCACAGCTTAGGCACCCATCAGGGCCAAATCACTCCAGGGATAGTTGTGTGGGAACAGGGCGGTACCCTTGACCATCAGAAAAGTCCCCGAACTCTGTTCTGCACGGGGGCTTTGGAAAGCACTCCTTCCCTCCCCGGGCCAGCACGTTCGCCCCTTCTAGCCCCAGCTGCACACGACAGGCCTTGCCTACCAACTTGGCTCTTAAGTATCTACCAACTTCTGCGCTCAGCCATCTCTGAAAGCAGATTGTTAGAGCACTCAGGAGACACCTGGGCACCTGATGGAGAAAAGAAAAACAACAAAAAAGACCTCTCATCTTCTGAGTCCCCTACTGGTGTCAGGTAGTTTCTTTGAAAAGGCTCACCAAACAGAAGTATTCTAGGTCCTGCTTGTCTCGAACAAAGAACCAGACGAGCGGCAACAGTGTCAAAAGTTTATTTGAGAATGTGGGGTAAGGGAAGAACCAGCTCTGCAGGGCAAACTAAATCAAAGCGAGAAAAGTATAAAAAGTAAAAATCAAAGCGCTACTGTGAGGGCCTCGGTGAGGAGTCACGATGGCCAGCTCTTGGTGGTATCTGGTCTTCTTTATGCGCGTCCGCGTCTGGTGGGAGCACGTCTGCGCGCAACAAGTTCTATGTAAGGGCTCCTGAGACTCATTTGGCCTCTGATCTTGGTCTGACAGGCCCCACCTCCCATATCACTAGGAGGGGAACAGCAAAGTGAAAACCTCCGACCTAAGACAACTGTCCTCCCACACACAGGCGGAGGATGACCTAAATTGCACTTCCGGGGGAACCATATGCATGCTCTGGGTGTTGGGTGAACCCTGGGTCCTTGCTCAGCTCCACCCTTTCTTTTTCTCACTGAGTTCCATCCCATCCTAACACTTGTTTGAGTTTCAGGAACATGGATTAAAAAACAAGCAAACAAACAGCAACAACAACAACAAAAAAACCCACTAGGGTTTAAGCATTCAGTTCAGGCTGGTTTTGAGCACACAGTGATTTTCTCGCCTGTAATCCACATGCTTAGAGAGCTGGAGGATTGTTATGAATTCAAGCTGAGCCTAGGCTACATAGAGAGGTATGTATTCCAGTTTAGAATACATAACAAGACTCTCTCAAAAAACCAAAAATAAATAAATAAATAAATTTGAAAAAGGAGAAAGAAAAATTATTCCAACCTGATCTGGGCAAACTGTTTTTCTTTCTTTTTTTTTTTTTTTTTGTACCAGGGATCCAACTCACAACCTTGCACTTGCCAGGCAGGTGCTTGTACCACTGAGCTAAATCCCCAGATCCTATTTTTCTTCCTTGTTTTGTTTTGTTTTTTTGTCTTTTTCCTTTTTTATCGGTATCGGGGATCAAACTCACGACTGCCTGCTTGCAAGGCAGGTGCTTATGCCGCTGAGCTAAATCTCCAGCCCCCCCTTGTTTTGTTTTTTGTTGTTAAAATTCAGTCTCTTGGGGAAAACAGCATTTGTGATAAAATGTCTAAATACTTTTTAAATAAACCTAGATTAAAATTTTTCTGGGAACTCAGTGACCCACCCATCCAGCTGTCACTGATGAGAAGCTCAGCCACTCCTGGCCTGAAGGCAGCTCTCTGACAGCTCTCTCTTCCTGAAAAATGTCCCTTTCAAGAGGCAGTCTCCCAATGGGGCCTTTTCTTCGCCTGCAGGATTACAGTGAGACAGGAAGATTTCCTCCAGCAGCACAGTAAGGGATTCAGAGGGCCGGCTTTGCTTCCATCTCATCAGCAGGGACACCAAATGCAGATAGCAGAGGAGCTGCAGGTCGCCCACCCATCCAGAAGGAAGAACAGGGAGTGCCTGGTCCACTGTGTGCGCCAAAGCGGTCCATGGGAACAAGGTCAGCTCTGCAGGGGTTGCCGGGATTAGAAACCCCAGGGATTAACCAGGATGGGTGGGAGTCACCAGGGCATGGCCTGGTACCGAGGCTCGCTACATCTAGGGTGGGAACTGTCAATGGCTAGGACAGCAGCCCTCTGCTAAAAGAGGGGGTCTATGTGTCATGTCACAACCACCCTGCGACCTGGAGAACTGCTTTTCTACTTCGGTCTAACCGGACTTTTACTTTTAGTCCCAAATAGATTTTCATCTTTCATTTCACTTTTTAAAAAATTTTATTTAAAGAAAGACAAAACAAAACGGAAAACGGATGGAAATAGTACATACTTTCAAAGAAAAAAATAAACAATAATTAATCACTTGTTGATGTTTATGATAGAACTGTGGGGGACTGGTGGTGGCTGAAAAGATAAGAAGTGTGAAATATAAATGACCTTTATTTTGAGAATGCGGGGAGAGACACCCCGACCCCCCGGGGCACGCCATCTCCACCCCAGGGTCTGCGATCTCTCCGTGGAACACGTGGAGTGAGGCACATAAGTAGCCTCGGCCTGGGGTGGAACCTAAGGGGGCATTAGGGATGCACAGGTAGCCCAATGGTCTTTGTTTGGCGCCAGAGGTAGATCCCTAGGGGAGGGGGAGATGGAGCTCCTTGGTTCTGGCTGAGGCTTTACC